ATAAATCTGACTACGCCGACGCCAAGGAGTTTGAAGGAGCTGTCCAGGAATTCAAGTCAAAACATGTTTCGGATAAATCACCATACACTATCCCATTCTATAGGCAAGTACTAGCTTGCACCCAAAGAGAGGCCTGGTTGCTTCTTGGAGACACGACTGCCCTTTGGACGAAGCTATTCATCATCGTCGCCAACGGTCTCATTGTAGGCTCACTGTTCTACGGGCAGCCTACGAATACCGAGGGTGCATTCTCCCGTGGAGGCTCCGTCTTCTTCTCGATCGTCTTCCTCGGTTGGCTCCAGCTATCTGAGCTGATCAAGGCTGTGTCCGGTCGTGCTGTTGTCAGTCGCCACAACGAGTATGCCTTTTATCGACCGTCTGCTGTGTCTTTGGCAAGGGTTCTTCTCGACCTCCCGGTAATTCTAGTCCAAGTCGCCATCTTCGACGTGATCATGTACTTCATGATGCAGCTGGATGTCAGTGCCAGCAAGTTCTGGATCCACTTCCTCTTCGTCTACACCACGACAGTGATGATCACAGCCATGTACCGCATGTTTGCCAGTCTGTCACCCGAGATTGACACTGCTGTTCGGTTCTCAGGTATAGCCCTGAACCTGCTTCTTATCTTCACGGGCTACGTCATTCCTAAGACGCAACTGCTGAAAGATTACATCTGGTTTGGATGGCTATACTGGATCAACCCCATTAGCTATGCTTTTGAGGGTGTTCTTACGAATGAGCTGTCAAATCGTGTGATGGAATGTGCCCCAAGTCAACTCGTACCACAAGGGCCCGGAGTCCTGCCTGAGTATCAGGGATGCGCCATTACAGGTGCAACGGTAGGCTCGCGCCAGGTTTTGGGCAGTGACTATCTGCAGTCCATGTACGACTACACCCGTTCCAATCTATGGAGAAACTGGGGCGTTATTATCGCATTCGGTGTCCTGTATATTCTCGTGACCATTTTCGCAACCGAAACAATCAACTTTGCATCTGGCGTCGGCGGCGGGGCCCTCATATTCAAGAAGAGCTGGAAAGCCACAAAGAAGGTCCAGAAGGCCAATGTGCCCGCTGACGAGGAAAATGCCGCCGTGGAGTCTTCCTCTGCCACTCTGAACGAGACGACCAGGTCCAATTCTCGGGATGTAGATGACAACGAACCGCTTGAACAGCTCACAGAAAGCAAGTCTATCTTCACATGGCAAAATCTCGAGTACACCGTCCCTTATCAGGGCAGTGAGAGGAAGCTTCTCAACAAGGTCAGCGGGTATGCCAAGCCTGGTGTAATGGTGGCATTGATGGGTGCCTCTGGTGCCGGCAAGACCACTCTTCTCAACACTCTATCACAGCGACAGACTGTAGGCGTTGTCAGTGGTGACATGCTTGTTGATGGTCAAGCTCTTGGTCCTGATTTCCAACGAAACACGGGTTTCTGTCTGCAAGGTGATTTGCACGACACCACCCAAACCGTACGTGAGGCCATCGAGTTCTCAGCTCTTCTGCGACAGGAAGCCTCCATTCCCCGAGAGGAGAAGCTGGCTTATGTCGATAAAATTATTAACCTGCTGGAACTGGAGGAACTCGAGGATGCCATAATCATCTCCCTTGGTGTGGAACAACGCAAGAGGCTAACAATCGGTGTCGAGCTTGCTGCAAAGCCATCCTTGCTGCTTTTCCTTGACGAGCCTACATCCGGACTGGATTCTCAATCCGCCTACTCTATTGTCCGGTTCCTCAAGAAACTTAGCAAGGCAGGCCAGGCCATTATTTGCACAATCCACCAGCCCTCTTCTGTCCTCATCGAGCAATTCGACATGGTTCTGGCTCTCAACCCTGGCGGCAACACCTTCTATTTCGGCCCTGTTGGCGAAAACGGGAAAGATGTGATCGACTATTTCTCTCGACGTGGAGCAGTCTGCCCTCCGGGGAAGAATGTGGCCGAGTTCATTCTGGAGACGGCAGCCAGGCCGCATAAGAAGGCTGACGGCAGCAAAGTAAATTGGAACGATGAGTGGGTTAAGAGCGACGAAGCCCAGCGGGTCCTCCAAGATATCGAGCAATTCAAAAGTTCCCGTTCACAGGAGGTGGCTGCAGGAAGTGCTTCCGCCAAGGGTCACAAGAGTTTTGCCGCATCTACCTGGCTCCAGTCTGTTGAGTTGACCAAGCGGATGTTCAAGCAGTACTGGCGCGACCCCTCATACATCTACGGGAAATTGTTTGTCGCCGTCATAATGGGTATATTTAACGGTTTCACTTTCTGGAAGCTCGGTAACAGTATCCTTGACATGCAGAATCGTGTCTTCACATGCTTTCTCATCGTCATGGTACCGCCAACCATTGTCAATGGCGTCCTACCAAAGTTCTACACCAATCTTGCACTGTGGCAGGCGCGTGAGTATCCTTCTCGAATCTACGGTTGGGTCGCCTTCTGTACCGCGAACATCCTCGTCGAGATCCCGGCAGCCATCGTGTCCGCCTTCCTGTACTGGGCCCTCTGGTATTGGCCCACCGGCATGCCACAGGAGAGTTCTGTTTCCGGATACACATTCCTCATGACGGTGCTCATCTTCCTCTTCATGAACAGCTGGGGTCAATGGATCTGCGCCTTTGCCCCCAGTTTCACAGTAATCTCCAACATTCTCCCGTTCTTCTTCGTCATGTTTGGTCTGTTCAACGGCGTGGTCAGGACATATGCCACTCTGCCCGTCTTTTGGAGATTCTGGATGTATTATGTTAACCCTTGTACATACTGGATCAGCGGACTTCTTGCTGCCACCCTTGATAAGCAGCCAGTGCAGTGCGACCCGTCGGAGACAGCCATGTTCAACCCGCCTCCAGACCAGACATGCCTGGATTACGCGGGAAGCTTTGCCGATATCTCAGGCGGTGCTCTTCTGAACCCCGACGCGACATCTAGCTGCATGTACTGTCCATACACCAACGGCAATCAGTATCTCGCTACACTCAATATTCATGCAGACCAGAAATGGAGAAGTAAGTTTTCAATTATCCCCCCGACATATTTGCGTTGAATTGGCGGTCTAACTTGTGCTTCAATAGATTTCGGCATCTTCCTTGCCTTTTGCATCTCCAACTGGGCGCTGGTGTACTTCTTCATCTACACTGTCCGTATCAGGGGCTGGAGTTTTGGATTTGGAAAGGTGTTTGGGGTGTTGGGCAACCTCGTGGACCAACTGAAGAAGCCATTCAAGAAGGCTTCCAAGAATTAATGAATTATTCTCACAAAGAAATAGAGAAAGAGATTGGGAAAAGTTTTAGAATCATATACCATTAGAACGCATAGACAGAATAGAACCTCGCTTAAGCCGAGACAAATCATGTTAATTACTTAGTATTTATAGAATGCCAACTTCTCTTGCGAGAGATATCACGTTACTCTAGTCTCTAAATATGCAAGACCGTCTTTCTCTATTGTCATAAGCCAAACATTTTTGTGCTGTTCTCCCAGGCCGCCTTGGCGATTTCTTCAACCTCGATACCCTTCAATCCAGCCACGATATAAGCGACCCGGTCAATCGCAACGCTTTCATTTCGCTCCTTGATCATGGCGGATGCATCCCACTTGTCTTTCTTCTTGCTTGCAGGCAGTGCAGGCGCATTAGCTAGGTATCTCTTGGCTAGGTCGCTGCTGGTTTTTATCTCGCCCCATGGCGCATCGGTTTCGATCTGAAGACTCCCAAGGGGGATTGCGGCCGTCATTTCTAGACTCTCCCGGTCCTTGAAGCTGAAGCCGTTGACGCTGACATCCAAACCTATCTCGACGAGTTTTTCCATCTGCTCTTTAGACCCAACAAAGCTGTGCACCAACCCGCGTCGGGGGAGCTTGTCTAAATAGGGCGTGATCACTGCCACAAAATCCTCAAACGCCGCGCGGCAGTGAAGGAAAAGAGGCAGATTCCACTTCTTCCTCACAAACAGATCAAGCTGGGCTTTGAAAGCAGCGATTTGTGTCTCCTTGTCTGCATGATTAAGGCGGTCGTAGTCCAATCCGAGCTCGCCAAACGCCGCAATTAAACTTGGCGTCTCCGCAATAGCCTCGTCAACTGCCTTTTCAAGCCTGGCATAATAAGAGTTTTCCGCGTCGGCGCCAGGCTCGGCGGCGTGGTATGGGTGAACGCCAATGGTGACGAAACAGGATCCGGCTGGTCGTGATCGAGCAATCTCCAGATTGGTGTTCACATCTGAAAGAGACATGCCTGTGAGAACGACTTTCTCAACGCCGGCAGCACGAGCACGGTCAAGAGTGTGTGCAAAATCGGGCTGGTGGTACTGTTTGTTGCGGTAGACGCCGGCAAACTCGTTCGCCGTTGCTGTTACGGCCACCTACTCGGGACCAAATATGAGCATCTGACTAGAAATCATTCTAATTTTCAGGCGACAGGTGTTATGGAATACCTACATCAGCATAGCGAAGTTGTGAAGTGGGCTTCTTGGGGGCTCCAGTTGGGAAGCCTGATAAATCAAGACTCATCTTTGGCTGAGCGAGGTTAGACGCAAACTTAGCGACAGGGCGAGGAAAAACAAGGGTCAGAGGAGGAGTTGCTGGTAACTTCTGACGGCGTGAAAGCAAGCGTAGTGCTGCCGCAGAGCCACTCTTCGACATGAGGTAGAAATCGTCTGAATTGAACAAGTTCTAGCGGAGTTGCTGGATTAATATTCTGGGGCTATCTCCACTCCGACACCGGCCACGCTTAAGAGGTCATCACCCGGACCGGATCACAAAGCGCGGAAGACGAACCCCGGGCCGGCGGCCTTTAGTTGTAAAAAAAACTGTTATTTCTTTGTTACAAGGGCGACTTTATAATTGTTAATCTACAATATAGCAACAATAAGAGCCTGGGCCGCCTTGGCTTAGTATCGTCGTTTCAGCAATAATCATGTCTTGATGGACCTCAGCCGGTTGGTAGACAGCAGGGTTCCTTCGATGCTCTTCCACCTAAGACTATAGATCCTATATGTAGACTCAAAGCGATACCCCTTTAGCAATCAAATCCTTCCGGATCGTTTACATTGCTGCACTTGATACCCGTTGCCTCTTTTTCTTCGTCACCACTGACATCAACGAACTTGACATCATTCATGACGATACCGTCACAGCCGCCTTGGGACCTGCTGCATTGAAACTCGGCATATCTGCTGGTTTTTATTGTGCCACTAATGCCTGAATATTTGACGTCAGATATATCGAACGTGGACGTACTGCAGTTGACCTTGGCTACATTAGAGTAGCACTGGTTGATAATGAGGGGTGACTTGGCGCCGTCCTCGATGGTAATATTCTCCCATGTGATGTTACGCGCGTCTATGCGAGCGGTTTTTTGTGTCAGCAGATCTAGTAGATCTCTTCGCAACGAAAACAGCATGAGAAAATCGATAAACATACAGCCGATGCCGCCGCCTCCGCCATTTGGTGGCCAGTCGTTCTGCTCGCCAGTCCATGTCTTGATCCGGGCGACGTAGTTTGATCCATACTGTTTGATGTTGCGGGCCATGACGTTTTCAACAATTTCGAAGCGGTCCGCATACTGCCCAATGCTCCCGATGGCAACTCCTTGTCCATCGCGGAAGATGCAATCTTCGATCAAAATGTTGGTTGAGTTTGCCTTGGCCGCAATGCTATCGTCGCCGTTTTCGATCTCCCAACGCCGAAGGGTAATATTGTCCGAGAACATCGTATTGGCGCCGTCGGTATTGCGAGCCGGTTTCGAGCTCCTGCTGATGGCTGAGACAAAAATGTCCTCTAGGACAACATTCTTGGAACCAACGATGGTGACAGTCCTTGGATCTCATTAGTGAACACAATCGTTAAGGCGTTAAAATTGACTTGTCCTTTTTTTTTATCTTCGATACTTACCACATCTGAGGCTGAACAAAACGAAGGCCATGGAAGTAAGAGTCCTCTGCTGTCACAACGAGCATGTGAGGGCGATCTTGACGAATTAGTAGGAACTATAAACTCATTATAGCACGGAAGGAAGGGGAGTCTCACTAGGATAATTTGACTGCCCATCCACAAAATCGTACCAGGCCTGACCGTTACCATCAAATGTACCGTATCCGTGCCCCTCCACATTCAGCCTTTTGCCACCTAGTATGAAAGCTGTGGTTTGATTCTGATACGCCGCCGGCGGATAGCTGTCTTGGCTTTCTCCTGGACCAATAGGTAAGGAGTTCTCGAGCCAATACTCAATGTCAGTACCCCACTGTGTATTATATCAGCATTTCTTCCTCTTCAAGGAGCCGCTATCTTCAGTCTAGCTGCTGACCTCAAGACGGCCTCGGACGTCAATGTGAACATTATCGAGATCTTTGAAGCTCAATGCTCTTTTTATGTAATACGTAGTATTCTGGAAGATAATGGCGGAATTCTTCCTGCATTCTGTAAAGGCATTGATGATTGCAGGCGAATCATCACCGGACTTATCCCCTTGGGCAGGAATCTCGCAGGTTTTGGCGCTGGCCCGCCCAACTACGAGAGGCAACAGCGGCCAGAACTTCAAGAGGCTGGTGATATGCATTGCGTAGTGTAGATGATAAATTCGGCGCCGATTGGCTTCAGCAGGTCAAGTTCGTAAACCGCAAAAGATGCGGTGATATTTTAGCTCATCATCCAAACAGAAGATAAGGTAAAGGAACTCGACCTGCATCTTCATTCATATACCTACTAGCGATAGCACGTATTCCAATCACTAACCTTTTACCTCGTGATCAAATTGTCCGACAACATTTTCATCTTTCTAGTGTCCGGTAAAACATGTTCCGCCAATGCGAGAGAAATGCATGATATCATTATCCTTTTTGACGTCTCGTTTGGTCAAGCCGGATTCAAGATTCATCTCGACCTAGCTAGCATGACAGAGATCAAGTAGTGGACACAGTCAAGTTTTTTCATCAACCAATTCATGTCCACCATAGAGAATGATATCTATGTCTAAGACGCGAATCAGCCTCGACACACGGTGTCCCTTGATCATATTATAATCTAGAGGGTCATTATTTATGGACATTTATTACTTTTTTTTAATACTTAATTCTTATTAGGATATATACTTATACTATGTACTCAACTTCCTCCTAAAAAGAAAGAAGAAAACTGCTGTAAGGGTGGTTTGAACCTAGGTAAAGTGCATTCACTTAACCGCCGTTAGTGCGAAGCACCAAACGCATTGTATTCCTCACGGAAAGTCATGGTTACAATAATCGGCACAATGATATATCGGTTATAAAATGCACATCTCGGGCCATCTATCACGGAGGATTCACCTCGGGGTAATGGACAGCGCTCATTCATGCGGGGTACCCATGTACAATCCGATGATCGCGGATTGCGGAAGTCAAGCAATTGGTCAAACTTTGAGGCTTGCCATTCCACCTTATCGTATGTACACTGTGCCTTGGAAATTTGAGAAGACAAAATAGACCGGAAAAAAATCCGTGCAAGGAGCAGTCGGTTATCGCTTTTGTCTAGGTCTTCCTGCATCACTATTCCACCCCGCACACCTTACCCCGTCCCTGGGCACAGGAAGACGTAATTGGAGGAAATTGTGCATGCCGGTCAAGCAGTGATCTATTGGTAGATCTTGTCATTTTTGGGTTGAAAGTCATGGCTCGGTCCTAGAGCTTCGCGCAGTTGTGTAAAGAGTCGGCAGACGGGGTTTTATATGGCGACCCGAATCGATGGCTGAGATTTAGGGATGAAGGGAACAGCAACTCCAGAAATGCGTAAATAGCAGTACTTCGTGTCCCCTTCTTTCCTCTAATGATGACCTACAGACCAAATATAGCATCCACATTTCAATATCCATCATGATTAGCTCTCTAACTTTGTCCTTTCTTGCTTTAGCAGGGGCTTCTTACGCAAGATGGATTGTTCCCGCTGCTCGTTGGTATGATACTGATGGAAATAGATTCAATGCCCACGCAGGTGGCATGTGTCTTGATCAGGATACAGAAACGTTCTACTGGTTTGGTGAATACAAGACCTCGGAGCATCCCGAAGGCGGCGGTATATCCGTATATAGCTCCAAAGACCTTGCTACTTGGAAGGCTCATGGACTAGCACTAGGTAAGGCTATTATTATCACGCTTCACCTAGTTCGTTGTATTATCATTTTTCTTATTGCCATTCATCTCCTTCTTGTTGTTATTATCATCATTTCTTCGCTCCCTCATATTCTCCAGCCCGCACCTCACGAATGGGCCGCTGACCTTTATTTTGCTATAGCACCGATAGAAGGCCATCCTTGGCTTTCACCGACAGAGAACCGAATTCAAAGGCCTAAGGTGGTGTATAGCGAGGAGACAGGCAAATACCACGTAAGTCAATCGAATTGAGCCTCGCTTGACGACATAGATGGACTGATATCGTTTCGAGCAAAGATGCACTGGCACGCCGACGACAACAAATACACCAAGCTGCTCCAAGGCTTAGCAACTTCAGATAATATTGCGGGACCCTACGAGTTCCAACACGTAATTGCCCCCCTCGGAAACTGGTCTCAAGATTTTGGACTCTTCACCGACTACAAGGATGGTCACTCGTATGCGCTCTATTCCAACGGCGACCGTGTCGAGGGCCGCGATGTATACGTCACGCGTTACAACAGCAATATCACCTTACCCGAAGAGGTTGTTTACCGCTTCCCCAAATTCGACCTGGAAGCTCCAACTATCATCCAAACAGAGCATTCTTATTACGCAATCATGAGCCACAAAACTGGATACAGGCCAAACAGTCAGTTTCTCACATTGTTCACCTAACTAGCTTCCCTTATCTCCGAGTTTGACTTACAAATTACAGACGTCGTCGCCTTTCGGGCTGACTCTCTCGCTGGGCCATGGTCTATGCCTTTCCTCGTAGCGCCGCCGTACACACGAACCTTTAGCACGCAGTCGAGCTTCGCATTACGTATGAATGGAACGAAGAAGACTTCTTATCTTTACATGGGAGACACCGTGAGTTGACCCATCCGACTCTGACGAATACTATTACACCACTATACACAAGGAACGTCCAGATGATCACGATAGCTAACACGACTTGTCCATCTTCAAAAGTGGGACTCACTAGAACACTCAGAGAGCCGAAACACATGGTTGCCTATGGAAATCGACGATCGAAAGGGCACTTTGAGCATTGTATGGCATGATGTCTTCGATCTAAACATGTAGATTTCTCCCAGGCTTCTTCTTCTTCTTCTTTGTATGCTGATCGTGGACGTAAGCAAAACGGGTGAATGGAAGCCCGTAGAAGGCAGGTCATATTGGGCCAAGCAGGCCCGGACGACTGGTAACGCGTATCTCCAGGAAGCCGTAGGTTTCCCTGTTGACGGGTCCAGCGGGCCCTACCCGTGATTCTATCTCACGACGATGATCTAAACTGACAACTGATAATAGAATTTCGCCGGAAGTGGCGTGATGGCAACCGGAATATTCGGCAATACCAGCAAGGTCGTCTTTGAAGTTGATGGAGCAGGCAAGGATCAGTGGGTCTCCTTCTACCACCAGAGTACGTATAATCGGCCCAATACTCAATGTGCAGATTCAACTGACATCTCCTCGTCGGTAGATACCGATGACATGGGTTTCGGCGATCAACGTAAGTAGTAAATTCAAGACCCAACAACTGCCTATTTGATTCACATACTGAGATACTAACTGTATGTAGCTTATGGAAGTCCCGACCGCATTAACGGCACTTGGGCGCTTCGGCGCATCAGCAGCGTTATTGTCAACGATGATGAGTCTACCGTCCACACTCTATACCAGAAAGATACACATAAGAGCATCATTCTGTCCTCGCCCTTACTACTGCCTTTGAAGAAAGGCAAGAATAAAATCACCATCGGCGGTCTGTTGAACGGAAAGGATTATAAGGGTGCTGATATCGAGAAACTAGTTGTTTATCCGCCGGAAAATGCTTAAAGAATCATTACCAGCGCAATAGAGGAACAAAGGGATGGGGGAAGAAGGAAAATGGCAATAGTTAAAAAGCATGTAGCCAAGCTAAGAAGATAAATTCTAGGTTGTTTTCCCCTCACTTCCTCTGTTTCTTTTTATTCTGGAGCCATTGCAACAGGCGCTGGGTCTTTGTGGCAGGTATTGGCTCAGGAGTGAAGTCTCTTGGACCTAACACGCCAATATCGATAATATTAGCCCGCTTCACCCCAAAGGATCCCGCGACTAAGCTTAATAATGACATGATACAATGACGGAACAATTTGCGATCCGGTCTAGAATTTGGCGATTAGGTTGCTACATGTATGGTTTCACTTGTGAGATAGTGGGAAGAAGAATGGGCTATCCGCTCCGTATGTGCGTGCTAATTACTAGGTATCTCACGAAGACGTGACTGCTTCCCAATTCCTCATTGGAGCTAAGGTACTGAAACCTCTGGTATCTATAAATACATGCAGTGTCTATTTCATTTTCGTTCCTACCTCGGGCAATACTGGCTACGTTTGATCTGTGATGCTCTCAAGACAACGGCCAACCTTACGGACCCGTTCCAGGGTCGGAGCACTCCAATCCACCCGTTCAAGCGCCCATTTTATCATAAGTCCCATGGCATGTGAATCTCCCTGGTAATCCGGGGCCACACCGCCCAAGTCGATGAAAACCAGCTGCCCATCTTCCATGCAGAGAGTGTTTCTATCCGTAATGTCACCATGAACAACCCCGGCGCGAGCAAGCTCCCACAAAGCTACCACCAAAGCTTGGATTTGAGTCTCCGTGATGTGCAGCCGTGGGAGTGACGCTGGCTCTAAGGTGACTTCGTCAGTCTTCTTAGCTTCACCATCAGTGTCCTTGAATTCACCGTCAGTCTCTTCATCCTCGTCTTCGTCATCGCCGCGGTACCCCATGCCATACTGATATCCACCGGCAAGATCTTCCAAACTCCGTCCTCCATAGGGCATCAACAGTCCCAAAACTTCATCAGTGTCTGAGGACTTGAGCACGACAGCAAGGATAGGCAAAACGTGAAAACGGCTCTCGATGGTCGTGAAGCCTGACTTGGGATCCTCGTCAAGCGCCCTAAGTAACTTCTCTCTTTGCCTAATTTCGCGTTCCATCACTTCCAAGTCTTCCTGGAACTCAACACGCTTAAACACACAGTCAATTCCCTGCCAGGTGCAGCGATCAGCTGAGCAGCTCAGATGCACTTTATTCTTGATTTGGTCGAACGTGGTGGTAGGCAGAATGTCCGATTCGCCCCGGGAATAGCAAAAATTGCCTTGGATGGACCTGGCAACCACTCTGTTTGGCTTCTTCTCAAAGGTCGTTGTAGATTCTTCACGTGTGGTATTGATAACATTGAAGTCAGGAAGCGTCCCATGTTTGGAGTGATATGCTTTGATGTGCTTGGTAATCACATCAGACATCCAGTCTTCTGCGTCTCGCACAACCGTGTCTATGTTGAGCTCATACCACCTGCGGTTGGCTACATCATAAGCGCTGGCTGAGGAGGAAACTTCGGGGAAGATGGACGTGCACATGATAAGGACCTCGGGTTCTTTCCAGATGCGATCGGGCTCGAGCTCGGGTGCTTTCCACCATTGACTTAGGTCGGGTATGTAGTCCATGACGAATATCAATGACAAGTATCACCACTTGGAAGCGAATCTGGGAATTTTATGTAGCTGAAAACAGTCGGCACAAGTGGAGATTGGCACCAACATGTTTCGGTATCCGGCTGGTGATGGTCGTTGAGATGCCCATGTTCTTCTTGTCTCGATAATTATGTGCGCAAAGCCCGTAAAGTGACTATATAAGCGCTTCTACAGGTCATCATGTTGGTTGGAAAATTCTCAAACGTGAATTTTGGTGCCATCAAAAAAGAAGTTGACAATGAGAGCCAACGCGAAATCCAAGACTTCATCCAGCACAAATTGCGGCACGTCAAGCCACCCCTGTTGAAATCGCCATTGATGGATGGTCCGTTTGGCAGAAATCATGCATGCATCCTGCGGCCTGCGTCATCCCGAAATCTTAAATCAGCGGATCGAATCCAGAGTCGACGGTTGAGATGCACCATGCTGAAGTCTCATCGACATTCTGACACTGGCAAACACCGTCAGTGCAGCGGGCGATGAGATTAGATAGCGCTTACTGAGAGCTAGAAGAGTGCGGCCCACTAGCAGCCCAAGGGTCATCCCGCATCTCAAGTCACGGGAAATGGATACTTGCCTTTGCATCAGCTTGCTTAATGTGCAATATAGCTCAGAGGCGATGCTTTAGATCAAGGCTAATGTCAGGGGACAGAAGGCGTCAGTCAGTGGACTCGAAGCGATCAAGATCGATGACAGACAGCCGAAAAGAAAACACCGCTGGGGGCCGCGGAGGCCTGTAACGTGGGGCGATTTAGGCGATTGGGTGCCATTTTGCTGCGCTGTTCAGTGGATCCGACCGCTACAAGTAACTCCACTAATTCCCCACGGAGCCGCCGCGAATGGACTCAGTCCGGGACGTCCGGAGGTGATATCTCTCTACATTACCTACAATGTATCTGGTCGTGCCATCTTCAAGTTGCAGTGTCCTTCGATGAGGATGGAGACAGATTTCTGAATATCCGCAACCAGACGAGTGCTGAGATGAATCTGGCCCCAAGTCACACACAGGGCACGTCTCCCTGCAACCAAGTTCAGCCCAATCAGCCCCTGTAGGATGAGACAAAGGCAGCCAATCGGCATGTAACCAGGCCTATCTCGACGTTCGCGCTGCTTATTCGGAGCTGCCATCGTAATTAATATGCATGTCTCTGGGCAAGACAGACAATATAAATCCACTATTGGTTCTTTTGGCATGTGCCTGCTCTGACGGCCACGTACTCGGAGCCTGCGGGGAGCTCGGATCAGTGAGTCGGAACCACGGCACAGCGCCGTCCAATTATGCGTCTAGCGTTGGTAATATTTATCCCGCCTGTGCTGCCCGTTGTGACTTTGTCCGCGATCCTTCATCCCACACTCTGTCTTTGTGGAAAGGTGGCTTGTTCGACTAGTTTTTCATCGCCCAGCATCCAGCATCGGCGCTACCCACCTGGATACTACCTACACAACAGAGAGCACACCAGAGAGCACAGAGAGAGCGACGCCGATTGAATTCCTGCACCGTAGAGCCGTCTGCGGGTGGCTGGGAGTCTCCGAGCTGGTGGGAGAGAAGCAGAAATGGATACGTCATCGCACGCACACGCACCATTTTGGGGTGCCCAAACCTCGTACCTCAAGTTGGTCTACCATTTGCCATTCCTTTTTTTGAGTCGGCATGCTAATCAGATTTCCCCTCCAGCTTTTGTGAAGAAGTATGCCTCGCTGACTCATCCTTGGATCGCGTCTTTCCCATTCACAGATACCTCAGTCAACTAATTATCAATCAATTAGGACTATGCCATCACACGATACATTGCCGAGTTCATCAACACCCTAAGTAGCATTACATTCAGTCAGTCCATCCCAGAAGAAACATCACGATATCTGCGAGCTAACTAAATGGTAGTCCTGTATGGCTGCTATGGCCTTTTCTATACCCGCCAGAGGACAAATGCAAGATCCCCTGTACTTTTATACTATGGCTTGATCGGTATAGGCGTGTGCTCTGGAGGCTACCACATGACTCTCAAATACCACACGCAGATGTGTATGTGCTCGACTATCACCACCCTGACATCTCATCAACAGATCTTCACTACCTACATGCCTGAAATTCGGATCTATTTCTTGCTAACACCTATATCCTTCAGCCGATGAGTTGTCGATGCATCTTCTCACCACCCCGCTGGTATACCGCCTCCTCACGTTCAACGCCACCCCCGAAAAGACGAGATTGGTGGGCATCATTCTCACCATCCTTTTCACCGTCGTCATGGTCACTCACATGGTCATGGACGAATTCCTTCTCCACGCGACAACTTTCGCGCTGGCCATCTACGTAATCGTGACACGATCAAGGCGTATCATCCCTCAGCAGTGCCCTGATCCAAAGGTCCGAAAGTCCATTCAAAACGTTTCGACATTTGGACTCGGTATGTCCTCCCCCCTGCACCAGTCATGGAGAAGATATACTAACATGCAGTCACAGTCTGCTTTGCCGCCGGCTATTCCGTATGGCTTGTAGATCAGTATGTTTGCAACGTGCTGATCGATACGCGCCGCTCTGTCGGGTTGCCCTTGGCGTTTCTCTTGGAATTACACGGATGGTATGCCTTCTCCTATCTTCCATGAAGCAAACTTGGACTAATAAAGTGTGACACCTACAGGTGGCATGTCTTGACAGCGATCGGTGGATATGTGGCTGTCGCGACAGTGGATCTCATCACGTCAGGCGAGCTGGTCTTGAAAGATCCCTCGGATCAACTTGCCTGGCCCGTTCCTCTCGCTGCAAGGTTGATGTCTGGGAAGACGCGTGCGATAAAGGAGCATAAATAGAGCCAAATATTAGCCTCAAGGCTAGCATAGGCCGGGAACTTCCCCCCGCAACCAGAGATTTAAAGAGGAGAAGTATCCGTCATCTATAAGGTATATGGCAGTAAAATACCAGCTTGAAACGATCGATTAAGCTAAAAAGAATGAAACGAATATGTAAAAATTAGAAGCATATGAATAAAGAGAATAGACTCATTGTCGATTTACAGTCTCATCGTCTCTCTTCGTTACTCTCTTAGTGCAAGATTAAACCCCAGCTAATCAGGACTGTGTTCTGCTCGATACCGTAGTAGAACAATGTTGTTCATAGGATGACCCGTCCTCATTATTAAATCTTGTTTACTATTGAGATGATCATTTGTTCCCTACTGGCCACTTCATGTCGGTACTAATGAAAGCCAAAATGTCATCTATCTCTTCAGGAATTTTATACCAATGCCCCTGACCCTGATAAGCCTTCCACAAGACCTTGAATCCAATCTCCCGCAGGGTACTACATGCGTTCTCTCCCAACCCGGGGGCAATCTTCTCATCTGCCATACCATGCCCAAGAAAAACGGGCGTTGCAAGCGCATTGCTCGAAAGAGCCTGGCGCTCGCCTCCAAGCAGATCCCGAATGAAATCCACCGCTTTGTGGATTGGTTCTTGGTCTTCCGATTTTCTACCATCAGGGACATCGGAAGCGTCCTCGTCGCCAAACGGATTATTTTCAGCGTCATCACTCAAGACGTCATGCAGGTCTTTGCTATAAGGTAACCGTCCACTCATGCCGATGAACCCTCCCAAGGGAAATTCGAGATAAAGCAAGCAAATCGCGGACATTGCCATGCCTTGACTGAGGCCTCCTAGAAGAACATTCTGTGCCGAGACTTTGCCCATCTCTACACGAAGCAGCTCATGCACCTCATGGAGCGACTCCTCGAGACCGTCAAGCTGGGTGTACTGCCTATAGGATGGATCATCCAAGGACGCCATGTCAAACCACTGCGTCAATTTAGAGCGGCTAAAGGCGCTCGAGCGACGTCGCTTTGCAGTTGGGAAAATGAACCGCGCGCCCGGAAGTAGCTGAGATAAGCTATGGCCATCAGAGCTGAGTCCTGTTTTTATGAGTTCAGAGCCGAATTCCTCTCCATTGGACCCCAAACCATGTAGTAGGATTAAACTATGTGTGTGGGCCGACAGAGGCTCAACAATATACGGAGTTGTAGACCTTTTGGAGCTGGCCAACCTCGCTGGTACATCCATAATAGCTTTGCGAAAAATGGTGGAGATGAAACACAGAGGCAAATTTGCAAATGGATAGAAATCGTGCTGATGGCATGTCAGCGACGACCTCACTCTGTCCACAATTATTTGCAGCAACGGCAAAGTCTAGGGTAGGTATGATGTGTGAATTACGTCTCACTCTTCACGTGCAATGTGCCCAATAACAAGGCCGATCGGAGTAACTGCAGGCATCCATCGCCTTGAGAATGACCATTATCCGAGTGATCAAGAGGCTCAGAGCTGAGTTTCATTTTAGGCCTGTTTTAGAAAACAGTTGGCTAACTTAGAACTGCGGTTTTAAAGACATAGAAACGTTCTTCTTTTCATTTTTCGATTTCGGTGGTAAGACCCATGGACCCATGCAGGTTGTTGGTGAACACCACGAGAGTCCGTTTAAACGAAAGCGATGGCATCAAAAAGCTTCGAGATTCGACACTAGCAAAGAGCCCATGGCCGCTGATGAGAGACTGGATCCTTGCGTACTACGGAGTTAATTATTTGGGTGTGTCAATGACTCGACATTCGATACTACCAGTGAAAATTTCCCCACGACTCAGTCACCTGGAATGATACGCGATCAGGGAAATGACAATCATCAAAGTACGATTTCTAGGTATTCAATTTCAGCGTGAGGATATCTTAAACTTAACGGCAAAAATTTGAAACCAACATGCATCAATTCGTAAAAGTCGTGACGGCTTGACGCTTTCAAAAAGTATCACATAGGCGACCACATCAAGTATTATCAAATCGCTGGCCATGATTGTGGCCTAGAGACCATTTCGGACATGTTTCAAGACTTGTCATTATCGACGAGCGTCTTGTTGGTCTCCTCCCTTTTCGGCAGATGCCCGAAACTCGCAGGCGCTGCGTCTGGATCATCCATGGGTGTGTGCGGTGCTGGGGAGGGCGTTGGAGGTGGTGCGGCTGAAGCGGACAAGCTGGCGACGGCTGTCTCTTTCCCCTTGTCTTCGGGTTTCGGTTCAGGTGGTGAGGGTTCGGCCGGGGGAGGGGTGCTGGCTTTGTTGCTGTTCTCTGAAGACTCGGTGGTGGAGGGCGGCTTGCTTCCTTCCTTGGGCTTCGCTGGCTCGGGTGCTTTGCTCGCAGGACTGGCATCCGGGTCGGCGGCTGGAGCTGGTGCTGGTGCAGGCGGGGGAGGAAGAGGAGCAGGGCCGGATTCTGTAGGGACGACGGCGGCGATGAAGTTGGGACCGGGCTGGGCCTGTGTTGGGTTCTTTCTGAGTCCGGCAGAGTACTGATCCATACCGCCTGCTGAGTACATGTCCGGATCGTTCATGGTATTCGTCTTGACGGCCTTGTCGTATAAGCGAGTGAGGCGGGCGACCTCGCTGCGCACGGTGACTTGCTCATCGGTATCAATCGCATCATAGCCGTGCGCGGCGCCGCTGATACCGTACCACATGACAGCCGAGTTCTCTATCTCGTCAACTACGCGGGACAGATCATCGCGGAACATGCGAGCCCGCATAGGCTGGCCCCTAGACTTGAGGAAGGCAACGACACCGGCGATAATGGTGTTGAGCGCGCCAAATACGGTGATGAGGATTCTACTGCTGTTGCTAGCTCCCAATCCAGTCAAGGCGGCGCCGAGAACCACCTGAGTTAGCAACAGGGTGTTGATTAAGGTGGCGGTAAACATGTAGGTGCAGTTCTGGGCGCTCCGGCGTTGGAGAGCGCGGCCATAGAGCGACTGAGGCCGAGGTCTGTGTGGCTCGTCGTGTGGGTGGTCGACTGGGCGGACACCAACGAGCTGGCAAAACTGTTTGTGATGGTCACAGTTATCGCCGGAGATGGAGCCAGCTCCTGGGAACTGAAGCAGGGGCGCGCGTTCATCCATACGAGGAGACGTAGCTGACAAGTCGAGACAGTCGACTTGTATCAACGCAAACCAAACAAACAACACAAAGCACAAAACTGACACCGAGGAGGGGAGAGACCCTGGGTCTGCCGAGAAGAGCTAATATACATCATATGAAAACTTGCTAGCTCGAGAAAAGGGGGGCTGGAGAGCAGGCTTGACCAGCTGAGAAGCGAGCACGCTATGGCCCCCGGCCCTGAGCCCTTGCAATGGTTCATGAACAAATTTCCTCATATAGTTAAACATCCTTTCGGCTGTGGGTCGGAGGTGCCGCGAATGGCGCCCAAATCAAATCTGACAGTTTGATCACTGTCGCCTTGAACGATGTAAGTCAATTTTTGAGAGCTGCCCTTGGATAGGCTGGGCCTTCATTGATCGAACCACTGTTCCAGAAGCTACTCACCTGTCGGTGGCAGACAATCAATGGCTTGATCATGTTGACTGACTTTGAGCAAGTCGGTGTAATTGGCATCCACTTTTGCCTTGCTAGCCAAATCCTTCTTGGGCCTACTGACGGACTGAGCGGTTGGCTAAAACAGACCCGATTTTATCTTCGTGATGGGCTCGGCAAATGGCAGAGAGCTTCTTTGCGCTATTGCTCGTTTTGGAATAGCAATTGGCTTGCTGTAATATGCTCATGATTGGGATTGCTAGCTGCCTTAGTTAGCATATACTACACGAGATATAGGTATTTCAATGATATTGGCGCTCAGAAGAAGCTGCTTTCTGTACAAGAGATCTCAAGGCGGATGACGTCGTTAACGTGTTATGCGCTTGGTTTACGATATGCCGGCGTGTTAGTTTTGAGCCGTTGCCTTGAGACGATCTAAGCACACGAGTGTCGAACCCACAACTGCTAGAGCATTATCATAGCCGTCACTATCACAGAAAAAAAATTCATCCTTGGTTTTCTCCAGAGAAATACGTTCAAGATAGCGGGGTGTTGCTTTTCCTCCACTCACTCCATTTAAACCATCCACATACGAAAGTTGGCCCACGGTTTCAGGCAGAGTTGAGCTATAGGCATATGCTCGTCCTGATTTTCTTACATAGATGGTCTGTTAGAGTTATAGTATCTACTAGGTTAGTATCCGTGCTGTTGCTCTCATTGGCTTGAGCACGGGAGATCAAACCAAATCAGAGACAAGATGAAATGGGCCAAACCACTTTCATAGATTTTCTTCACAAAAAATGAGAGCTAAATCTAGACGTTTTGGCCGATGAAATGGAAAGGAAGCAAGCAAACTAACTAGTCAGCCAACACCCCTCAAAGCTTAGGCGCACAGCAAGGTTCCGTCTGCTTCTCTTCATGCAGCGTAGACCGGTTGAACTTTTGAGTGCTAGCCGGAACATCAAGCGCCGGATTCTTGGTAAAGAATCCGTCCGGCTTGAGCATCACACTGATCCTCTCGCACGGCATGACGGGGAAATCTTCCGGCCGTGGGTTATGGGTCAGCCCAAAAGTATGCCAAAGCACTACATCTGTATTTTCTGTATTATCATCCCGAGCCGCCCACACAGAGAGACCGGTATCAACACGACTCTGGTTGGTGAACTCTCCTGCGGCGTAAAGCTCGTCGTCCTGGTACCGGGTCACCCAGATGGCGTGCTGGGCAAAGGCAGCTCGCTTGCTCGAGAAGGAGCTCGGGTCCATGAGGAGCATTTGACTGGGTGCCGCGTGGAGCTTGTACGCTACTGGCTTGAGAGAGATGGGGTTGATGCTGCTGTCATTGCGGATCTTGAAGACGCGACCATTCTGTACGCTCAGGTCTGCATAACCAGCCTTGGAAAGGACGGTCGGACGTGAGACATACCCTACCCCAAAGGGGTTGAGCTCTGCGTCAACGGGGAGCGCAACGCTATCTTCGTAGAACACTGTGTTGTTGTGTCCGTCTACTGCCGGGTCGATCCGCAGGGAAAATAGGTGCTGGTGATTAGCAGCCATAACACCCGGCCCGACGTTGGTGCCCCAAGGGACCTTCACTCCCTCATGGTTATCAATAGGCATCGTGGAGAGGATGCCAGTGGCCCGCACTTCATGCTCAATATTTCCCGCCTGGTCGAAAACCCATGCCAGGATGTATTCATAGTTGGACACAGTACATATCATCTGCACAACGAGCTCCCTGTTGCGCACCACGGTGGCTACATTATTGCGGTAATTTGTATGCTTGTGTTGCAGACCGTTATCTTGTTCATGCATGCATATGACACTCTTCAGAAGAACGGGGCTTCCTTTCGAGTCGGTGCGATATCCGTCAAAATAGGCAATGTGACCTAGACAATCACAACCGAGAGCGAGTGAATTAGCTGTTATGCCGAACCCAACGTCTCCAGCGTCAAATGCTTGTTTCCTATGGAATGGCTTTCGGGGATCTGCAAAAGGTTAGCTGGGTGTACTGCTCTCGACTTGACTGGTATTTGAGGAGTTTGGCTGCGCATACCCCCATATGGAACTGTCATCTCGCACATGGAAAGCCGATAAAATGTCTGTCGGCCGTCGAATGTGACGTTATATAGAACAAGACCATCTCGATTATTGAAGCCCACGTGGAACTTCCACTTCTGCCAATGGACCTCCCTTCCGTTGATGGTAAAGGATGGCCCCTCGGGCTGTTGAACGACGTAAGGTTTTAAGTCAGTGCGGATGGGTTCGTCCAGTAAATCATGGGCGTATTGCACACCCTTGACCTGTTTCCATGGTTGCGTGGACTGAACTTGACCGTCGGCCCCTGTAGGAAGATAATCCATGCGAACTAGCTCCTTAGTGACCTGGTCGAAGACGGGAGAAAAGGTACATGGGAGCGAGTAGTGGTTAGATTCGGGGTGGTCGACCTCAATGATATACATATAACATTGCGCAAGGCGACGTGTCTCGGTATCGTTGTCTGTGCCATAAATCCACGGGTCATTGCAGACTTTATAGCCTGGGGGAAGTTGCATCTTCTCAATCTCGGCCAGGACAGCCGGATGCTTCATGCATGCCTCTTCAACCTCAATCAACTCATCAATATCGGCAGGCCCCTTATTCGGTTAGCACGGAGGGAATATGCCTACTAATATGGGAGGTTGCATCGCGTGGATACACTCATACCTGGATGTCCTTGGGCAACTCCTTGATGTACACAATCTGTCCGTTGACATTCACAACTGCCTTGTGAAACACACCCGTGTCCATACGATGAAAGTAGGAAAACAGAAGTCGAGCAGGCTTTGGAGGAAGGGCGTGACCACTTCGCTCTGCCTCTAAATAGGGCACAGTCTCGCCTTTGACTGGCTCTAGCACATCGATGCGCTTGAAACGCAACGTAGCGCCGGGAATAGCGTTTCTGAGAATGTTGGCACATAATGTGATATCCTCCGGTGTTAAGGGATCGAAGGGATGCAGTTGTGACAAAGACATTGTGGCCGACAAATGGAGTATCTTGACTAGATGCTAGGGTGAAGCCAAAGTTGGTGGGTGAGATGCGGGGGTTAGACAGGACCCAGCTTGATTATTATTCATATGGGAAAAGGTACACCATGGTTTAACCATCCGGTCCGAGGAGCTTTATCTCTAAGTCTCCACAGATATTATGCATTGTCAGCCCGAAGTTGTTATCTCTCCACCCGTAAAGCACTAGCTTGTGGTAGAGAAATCACGCGTCGGGCTTCAATGGCCGCAGGTCCTCCATTGCCGACGGACAAAAGTGCCGATGGCCAAGGCAATGTCCTATGTGCGCGGGGTAAGTAACAATAACATGACGGCTCAAGACTGTAACACATGCCACCTACACCTTACCATAGGATAGTAATGAAAATGCCATGATTTCTAATAATTTGAGATGGCCCAACCGTGAAAGTAGTGATCAGAGGTGGTTTCTCTTGACTAGGTAGCAAGCAAGGCTATTTCTCTGTACAAATAAAAGAACCCAATGAGAATATCTCATCTAGCCACCAAGATATTCTGTCAAATATCCCTTATTCACAATCATTCGAGATGAGTGAGCCGCCGGTATTCGAGAGACCTAGAAGAGCGCAAGCGGGTTGGTAGCGTTCTTGGGCAGAGCCTGGATCACGTCCCAGTGTTCCTCAATGCATGTGCCATTAAACCTCCAGATATCGGTGATGGCAGTAGGTTCCTGGCCTGGAAAATCAACTCTGTAGTGGACCATACCGAAGGGGCTGTCGAAGAGGTAGTGCATAATGGTCACGTTGCCCTTGCTGAAGTCATAAGGGCCACCGGCGCCGAGAGCATCAATGCTGGGCTGGCGGCCACTTAGTACAGCTGGATTATGCTGGATGTATTCGTCGCTGACAAAGTTTGTGAGGGACTCATTGACTAAGTGTTGCTCAAGGAATTGGTGAAGAAATTCAGTGAAGGCAGCGCGTTGGAATTCGGGGGAAGCAGGTCGTGCAGGGCAATAAGGCGCCGTCTCGATCTTCCCAGTGGCTCTATCGACAAGAGGGAATGCTCCATGAACCAGCTGGCTTGCAGTGGCCAGGAGCAGGGTAAGTTTTCCGATCATTTTGATTGAAGAAATTAGGGTCGAAAATAGATCAGGATGTTGAGAAGAATGTGACTCTTGGTTGCTGTATCAATGTTGAGCTTGTTGTAGATGTTTGGACAAACGACTAGCTTCCGGTGATATATATATATAAGAAAAAGTCTCGGGACATTTATCCCACAATATATTATAAAAAAAGAATTATGAATACATTTTCTTGGTCATTTCTTATTCACAACATGGCCGAGGGCCCTTGCATTTGGTAATTGGGAAGTGGGATACTTGAGGAATCATCTATACTTTTAGTCCCAGCATCAATATACGACACCAATTTGTATTCTCTTTGAAACCTATCTAACTGGAGCCTTTCACTCTATGATTCTTTGGCTGATTCTATATATGGCGGCGCTTTCGGCATCCTCTTCGTCAGGGTGGGTTTCGGGCAGGCCCCCATGGGGCAAGTGGGATAAAGGGAAGTGGGATAAGCATGATTACGCGGGATGTGTATCATGGAAACGAGGGCTGGTGCTAGCGCGGGATGAATGTCACAGTGGGATAAAGAATCCTGAATGAATGCAGGTGTATGGAAACTAAATAGTGAAACTGGACTGGGTGTCAAGTACTCGACTGTCTGAGCTTGACCTCGTAGCCTCAAAGTCCAGATCACCAACTCGTTCTTCTTCTTGCCGGCCATCGCAATCACCTGTATGTTGTTTTCCATTATTCTTGATGGATGCTCCTCCATGTTTTTTTTGCTGAGATAGTCAATATAATGCAAAATTATCATTCACTAACCAGGAGAAAAGAAAGAGGAGCCTGGCCAGAATGAACGGAAGTTAAAAGGAGTTTACATGCCAGAACTGATTATAATAACAAGTGTTACGCAATATACCTGCCATGGAGAGCTTCCATCGAGCGAAGATATGTTTCACTGTTCGCGATAGCAAAAGCCAGATGTGATGATTGATGAGTATTGACTATGCTATTCTTCCCATCTCAATATGATCCCCGAATCGTGTGCTCCAAATATGATATAACTAGAGCCTCCAGCAAATTATCGCCCATGCAGGAATGTTGCCGAGTACCGCGGCGATGTGAGCCGCTGCAACGACGTTTTCCTTCCACGGGGACGCTCCAGGGGCCGCTTCCCCTGCCTTTGTCAAATTATCAGCGTGTTAACTCAGCGGAACGAAGGAGATCAATCGGAACTAACAATAGGAAGCATCTTGTTGGCCCCCCAGTAGGCTGCTGCGATCTGTGTGAAGATCATCGGCCACGACACCCATACCCCCCAGTAGATAACACAGGCCTCCCATTCTTGTAGCGGCGTGCTCAGATGCTCGACAAGAACTCCCGCAGCAATTGCCATTGTGCCCATTGAAGCTGCTTGTGAATGGGCCATCAAACCAAGCCGCTTGTACGTCGTCGTAGGAATGAAGCATCCCCACACGCAGCAGAAGAGGAAAAGCCCGGCCCCAGTGCGGTACAAGTCCATTTGAAGTGTAGAGGCCATCTTGAGATCTTGGTGGTAGATGGTAGGATTCGGGAGAGTTTGGGTAGATGAGGGGGCGGGTGTGCTTGAATATAAGCTTTCCTAGTGCTCCTTCAACAGATGCAACGTTCAGCTGAAAACAGGTACCCGAACTAGCGACTAAGATGATCCCGATTACGAACGGGAAGCCGCTAAGTAAGATGTATGTGTCTAGATTTTGGGTCTGCAAATGATGAGACACAGGAAGTGCGCATGAGGAAATGCATTGATATAAGTTCTGGCAGGTGAATTCTTGGTGCGTGGTTCCCATGTGTTCAAGTTTTATTCACAGTCCAGTTCAAATCTCATAATGATACTCTTTGTACTGTGCTGAATGGTGCCGAATGGTAATTGTCAGCGGCAGCGAGTACCCGATTGCTACCCATAAGCATCTGAGTGCTGCCATGCTACACACCCTCTCCTGTAGAGATAGCTACCTTCTATTTTACCCGGACAACTAATGGCTAACACTCGGGCTCCCGATTAATCCTGCGAGTAATGATCGGGTATTCGCCGTAGCGGAAATCTCAGCAGGCACACATCCTCTGGTTAAAAAAGGATAGCCTCTGTTACTAAAATCGGGAGAAATACATCTGGTCTTGATTCAATGTAACGGATTGTTTGTATGATTGAGCCTAATGATTAGGACTGAGGAACACCACCGCGCATTATGACGTTTGATTTATTATGCTAATGTTCCAATTCCAAATGACGTTTATAATACACGCAATATATGCCATTCCTATTTAGCTTCCTTCTTAGCCTGGTCCGCAATTTCTTGAGCCTTCTTAGATTTCTTCTCAAGAACCTGTTTCAGTTCATCCACGGTCTCTTGTAGAAGCTTCTCGCCTTCTTCTCGGTGCTTCTCCGCAACCTGGCTGAGGTCTTTCAGTTTGGAGATGACCTCTTCGCCATTAGGTAGTAGCTTCGAGTATTGATCCAGTGAGCCCCAGCCACTTGTCAGCGACTCGGCAGATGATCGAGCCTGTTTGGTGAGATCCTTCACGTAACCCTCGAGATCAGATAAGTTCCCCGAATCCACGGCAGACTTGGCCTTTTCGAAAAGTTTCTTGACGTCGCCTTGCTTCAGGGCGTCGGCATTCTTCTCCACCAATTCTTTCACCTTGGAGTTCTTGTCAAGATATGGCTTGGCTTCTTCAAGGGCCTTGTTCCATGCCTGGTCACCAAGCTTGCGGACTTCTTGCAGCTTTTCTTCAATTAGCTTGCGTGCCTTGGTGATGTTCTCCTCACTGAACCCATTGGCGAAGATATCCTTGACCTGCTTCCAGGTCTCGTCAACCTGCTTTTTGGCCTCCGGTCCGTATTTCTCGCTTAGCTGCTTCAGCTGATCAACATTTCCCCCAAACTTCTTCTTGACCTCGGGATGATTGTCGAGGATGTCCGAGATTGCGTCGCCTGTAAGGTTGGCAATTTTCTTAGTCAGGTCGGCAAGAATCTCATAAGCGCGTGTGGCAGTGACGAGGCTCAGTCCAGACTTGGACACGTCCTGAAATTGCTTGTACGCATCGGTGATAATTTTGTCGGCCTCATCCTTGTGATTCTCCCGCACCTTGTCCCAGTCCTTGAATGCGGCATCGACGTAGGATCGCCCTCCGGGAACCCAGCCAACGTAGGAATATGCCAACTGCTTGATCGAGTCGATCGCCTCGTCTGCAGACGGCGTTTTTTGCTGGAGCTTCTTCGCAGCAACCTGGTACTTCTTCTCCGCTTCGATGACGGCCTTGTTCAAACTAGACGCGGTCCGACCAGAAGGTGTAAATGAATAGACACCGTAGAAGAGACTCGCGCCGACGACGCCACCGAGAACACCGGCTGCCCATGGAGTGCCGCCCGCTGAGGGAGTGGAGGATGTGGAGGATGTGGAGGAAGACTGGAAGCGGATCTGGCCACGGCGAGGAGCTGGAGCAAAGCGCCCAGCCCGAGACACTGCTAAGCGAGCGGTTTGTCTTGGAATCATGGTGAATAATGTGTGAGATGGACAGATGAACAGATGAAGATATGTCGGGTTGAGAAATCTACCAGCTGGGCCTCTGTGTACAAATGAAAGTTCCCAAGGTACGATTAATATTTTATACAAACAAAACACGTCCAATTTCGTAATGATGACGCCGAGAATCTCTCATCGCGATCTGGCTTCGGTTGAATTGGCCAATCAGGGGCGCAGAATCATGACGTCGTCATTGACGCCAAAGATGTTTCCGGTAACACCATCACAGAGCTAATTCAGCTCCCCGCCTAATACAGTTCCCAGCTCGGCTCGGGAGCTTCCTTGAATTTTGTACAAGGTTGTTACGCAGCAGTTGTATGTGATGGCCGTCGTCATCAGATCTAGACCAATCCACTGACACCGAGTAGGAGTTCGTCTTAGATATCAAAGGGAAGCAAAGGGAAGCAATGGGATGAAGGCCATCTCCTTTTAGATGCTTCTTTGCCTATCTCGGGTCAACATCGCTGTGGAGCCCTCCCAATCCGGCGTGTTTTGGTCGCGGTTATCCTGGAGGGCAGCAATTTGCCGAGGCTTCTTGAACTCACTGTCCGCGTTCTGCCTTGATGATGTCGGCTGCCTTCTCCCAACAGCGTGAACCACACTCTGGATATTTCCAAGAGGCACAAGAGAGAAAATACTGGCATCAACAACACTCTGACACCATACACGCGCAGCTCGGTGTCAACAACGCCCCCCTTGTCCTTGGGTCTCGTGCCAAAGCTCCCGCAGGGATGAAACACCCCAATCTCACTCTAGTGCACAATGTCTATCGCATTTTCTAAGCTGTCAGCCTTGATATTGGAGACCCGAGCGCCTCCTGCTTTCAATTCTTGCGCGGAGGGAGGTGTGCTGGCAATTCGGTCGACGAATTAGACGAGACGCGCTGTTACTCCAGTATCTAACGGGTTTAAGCCAAATTCTGTATTCCGAGTCGGCATTTGATGAATGTCCGCGCTAGAAATATAAACAATTCCTCTAGAGAGGGGGTGTTTCAACACTTTCATGACCGCTAGAAAATTCCTCCCTAGCCTCAGCCGGAAGTACGTATGCAACGCAAGTATTACTGCCACCCAATGGGCTTTGGTGATTATCCTGATGTAGAGCGGCCAGGTCCCCAAGTAATATTGTGCCGCGGATTACATCGTTGGAGGGGGTATCAGGATCAAGTATCGGAGGACTGGCAGGCGAGACGGTGGTCCTGGAAACTCTCCCCTACAGCAAGATTGCCAACAATGACTGGTACCCCGACCCGTGCCCTGTTCTCGCGGTTACAGGAGGATGTAGCATCCTGTGAGGGTAGGGGTATTCGGTCTTTGCCACAAAGGTGAAGATTCAGAGCTCCTCATAAAACCTCTATCGAGACGTTCGCATTACCGAATTCGATGAGAATAATAGAAATTTCCTTTGTACTAAATTCCATCTCCACCAGATGGAAGAAGATGCATGAGCACAAAGAAAACTAGAGGTGCACGTCCTTCCTCAACATACATTCTCACGCCGATCCGGGAATTGGCGAGTCCCAGAATTTTGATATTAAGGGCTCTGGTAACGCTTGCCATCTCTTGGTCGTTCTGAAGACCTTGATCTCTCGGGCTCGGGACTGTGGTCCCGCTTGGAAAATGGCAGCGTATTGACCTTCCCCAGAATTTCGGGTAATGGCCCGCAAATGTTTGAGAACCATAACTAACTTCTGCAGTTCGATCTGGTTTTCGTCTTCCCATGTATGGAAAAAAGCGCCAGGGTTAGTAGCCGTTACCTCGTGGAAGGTTCCGTTTGAATGGGTACCACAGACAAGCCAAGGAGTTCGCCCGAACCATAGCTGTGGCATCCATCTGCTGGGGGATGTATAAAAAGCAACTGATTTAATCTCAGCTGCCATAGCCTGATGCTTCAGGCCGGCTTGCCTCATAGTCTCAGATTCATTTTGGCTTCGAATATTTGCCGAATTTTCAAAATTCCTAGACAGTTCACCCAGGTCAGGACCATTAGGGGGAGACGTCCAGCTCGGCTCTTCCGTGCCACTGTGAGAAGCGTCGACTTCGCAACGGACGACGCAGCTCAGCTCTCCCAAAGGATAGCGTAAAGCACGATAGTGCGATACGCCCTCTTTCCACTCAGCTGGACAAGTCCTAGCAGCATTTTCGAATGCTCGGCCGAATCCAGCCTCTAAAAATGGACGCGTGTCATGGGTCTCAAATAGAAGGGTGTTTTGGATTAACCGGAGGTTTATTCGGAAGCTCCGTAGGTATTTTGTACCACCGCAGAAGAGCAACAAGTTCCTGAGGCTATGCCGATTGCAGATAATATCTATATCGTTGAACTTCATCTGGGGATTCATTTCCCCTACGGCTTTGAACATCGGCTCGAAGGAATAACAGGGCCATTTCCGGCTAGTCGAACTGTCGTTTCCGCCTTGACTCAGCTCAAGAGTGACTGGCAATGGAATTTCCTTCCACTCTGGAAGACACCCTGTAGAGTTTCATATTAGCGCTTGGAAGTCCAGATAGCAAAGATTGGGAAGATCTCTAACCAGGGGATACATCTTTACCATCCATCTGCAAGTCGTAGCTGCAGATCAAGTCACAGCCTTGCGAGCTTGTGACTCTGTCCGCATTTGAAGGCGAGCCTAGTGCCGAGCTAGAAACAGTGCCAACTACTCCATGCCTGCAGATTCCCTCCCAAATCCATGCATCTTTATGAGTTTGAGGAAGATGCTCCTTAGCATTGGACTGACGGCCCCATGCGTATCTTGGCATAGTGAAAAGCTGTCTAAGGGAAAATAGATAGGTTCAGTAAGTTTGTATGTGTCAAAATGTTGCCGAAAAGAACTTGAAATCTTGTATCAATGAGGCATAACTACACTTATATCTAATGGAAAGCAATGACCTTTTATATGTCCCAAATGACATTTGGAAGAGATGATAGAACTCTAACCGTGTTTTCAGACTCTCAAAGGCAAGTGGTTCATGATGTGGATTCTTCAATCAAAACGACACATAGGACAAACAAGTCGTGCTTTAAATCAAGCGAGATAGATGGTTAATGTTAACAAATCAGACATGAGATGTATGTGTTTGTTTGTTGCATTTGATATACACAGCTTCTAAAGTCTAAAAAAAATTGAAGTTACTCTTTGGAACCTCTTAAAGGATTTCATGACGTCGAAAATACAGGTAACTTATGCAATGATCAAAGCGGACAGTCTATAATAGAAATCCAGGTCAAAACACAAACCCGTTTCCTAAGCCCGTTTGTTTATTTGGTCGGAAACACTGTTCATTTAAAATTTTAACCGAGCCGGAACTTGAATTATATAAGACCCTTGTCAGGCCTCCTATGTTCTTATTGAAGAGACTTGAGTGGGTGACCCAGTGACCCGCGTCTACGTGTAGCACCAAAACAACCCGAATTGTGCTATTCCGCAAAGAAACAGTAAGAAGTTTCAGCAGAAGTAGGCCTGTACGTTTCCAAAAAGGATGAGCTTGCATTGGAGTTTGACACGTATGTAGATAGCGGCCGTCCTGCATACGGTCTTGCACCATACTCACGGCTTAGGGCTCTACCTATAGATTCAATTTAAGGAGCTCGTGATTATGGATGCGTGCATTGCCATGCAAGAACAATAAATATTTTGGAGTTCCTAAAGAACAACACCAATGCGAACGATCGAGCTGGCGTTTACTGGTATAGAGCCCCTTACGATTCCCGGCACGGTTCTATATAAATGACCAGCCACTCATTCTATTGAGAAAAGAAGTACCCGACAAGCTAGTAGACGATTCATCTGATAGGTCGCGGCGTCCAAGGACGCACCTCACCAACAACCGTTCTTTGACGCCAACACATAGAAGTTGAATGAACATAGCCTCACTTCTGCACAGCAGGTTAAATCGAACATTAAGAAAAATGAGTATGTCCAAGCCATGCAAACATTATCAAAGGTCAATCGAAGTACTTTGAGTAACGCTCTATATTGAAGAGATATTTATTTCACTCACGAATCATTCTTCCACCTGGTAGAAGGCGATAGGAGTCTAACAGGGGCTAAGCAAGGCCGCCTTGGTCACGTCCTTGGGAATGACGCCCGCATTGACGGCAGATTTATAACACCAGCGCCACTCATCGAAGCCTCCAATCCAATTGCACTTCCAGGACCAATAAACCCAGCCGCCAGACTTCTCAAAGGTCTTGACCTGGGCCGCCCAGTACTTTCGATACCAGTCTGCCTGGTCAGAACGTCCACGAATACCGAACTCGTTGTTGCTCTCAACGGCGTCGGCGACAGCAATTGACCATTCTCCGATGATGATATCCGAGCCACGGTTATCCTTGCACACTGCATTGATGTAGCCATCCTTCGTCGTTGTGACAGAGGGGTCCCATTTGTAGTAGCGGTGGTCGTCGAAAGACAGGAACTTTGTATCCTTGATATTCGCAGTCGGGTTACCAGATCCCCAGGCCTCGCCCTATAGATATATTAGAAAGATGATAATATGTGTGACAAGATGTCTTACCATGAACTGAACGTGGAGAAGGTTGGCATCGGCAGTGTTGAGTCGGTGTTCAGCGGCGCGGATGCGCTCCAGTGCTTTGGGGTAGTAGTTGGCAATCATATCCGCAGCCTCAGCAGAATACCCCGAGGCGTGGACGGGCTCGTTCATGACTTGGAGCATACCGACGTTCCAATAGTTCGGAGTCGTGTGAATGCGGTCCGCCATCCACTCGAGGAATTTTATCGCGCGCTCGTAGTTCTCGGCTGTGTAGAACCCGGGATAATCAACACCCTGCCAGCTGTTAGTTATTGTGACAATCGTCAAGATGGTCCAGTGGGAGAATTACATGACCGGTGAACTGCTGGTTAGGGTATTGAGATCCGGGGCCACCATGCAAATCCATGATAACATACAGACCAGCCTCTCTGCACCATCCGACGAGTCTGTCCAGATAAGCGAGACCACCACGGGGATAGTATTCGCCCTGCTTGACAAGATCCTCTTTGATCCAGAAGCCGACGGGAATACGGACGGTGTTGAGACCCAGGCTGGCAATCTCCTTGATTTCAGCCTGAGTTATCCAAGTGTCCCAGTGCTTCTTGAACGCAGCATCAGCAGCATCTTGGCCCAACTTCTTGACACAGGCCCATTCATCATTGGTATTCGCACATCCCATGCTGTTCCACTCGTCGTTGGCCATCCAAGGTTCGATGATAAACTGGGAGCCGAGATTGACACCCCTGATCTTGCTGGCTCCAGACAGCCAGCGCTTGGCCTTTCCAGTAGTGTCATTTTCTACCAAGCCTGTCAGTATAACTCCTGCTTCACTGATAAAGGAACGACCGAAATCACACACCTTGGGACTCGGGGGTCCAAGCCTTGGCCAACGCCAGAAAGAATGAGGCTGTGAAAACAAGACGCATTTTGATATTTACCGCCTGCTTACGAGTATATCCAGCTACCGGGAGCATGACAACGACCACACTCCGGCAGATGCTGGCTGTTAAATACCGAGAGCTGTGAGAGCATCTTGTCCCGCTGTGGGTAAGCGGAGCCGTAATCCGAGAGCTCCCCTGCATTCAGCAAATATTTTTAGAAGCTAAACTGCCGGATACATGCAGTGAGCGACGAAATTTCCCATCGTCTGTTTCACGTCGTCCCTAGCGTGCTGCGCTGAGCCGTGTTGAGCGGCTTTGTCAGAAGTTAGATGAAATGAGCTGAATCCTTCCATTGTCTTCAGCCCTGTAATCCTTGCTGCTCTAGCCTTACACTAGTTATTTGATATCTGTGCCGCCCGCCTCTGAGCAATGATGAATGCTCTGGGGCAAACATGGACCGACACAACCGTTAGAAGGAGTAATAAGATGAGTGACATTACCCCAGCCGTCAGCCCGACCACCACGTCCATGCACAAATTTTTCAATAATCTCGCATTTTAACTCCATTCTAAGCTTACTAATAAGTATGCATACGGCGCGATATTCATATGCCCTAACAAGGACTGGAAACCAGGCCTGGTTGGATCTTAGAATGACCTTGTCCTTCCATCGATACACAGCTTTTCCAACATACGCGTGGGAGAATACGATGATAAAGTTTTACAACAATGAAGCTGCCAGGGCCTGACCAACTCAACGCAGTGAATACGTTCAAACATACATGACGTGAAGGAGTTTTTCATTGGTTCATGGAATCGTTCAGCACTATGATGGTTGTCATACAGTTGTATGGCATAGCTGGAGGGATATTATCAGTTATCGGGCTGAATGAGAACACCCTCGCAATATTGGGAGTCCCTGATCAACTACCCAAATAATCAATGGCATGTCAATTGGTAGGTACTATATATTTATTAAGTGTTTCATGACGCTTATAGCTTATATTGCGTTTCATTTGTAATCTTGTGATTACCAGTTACAAGCTATTGGTCATGTGATAGTCACATGCCCAGATCAAGCAATTGCTAAAAGATGAATGCTCTTGAAAATGCCCTCATCAAAGTATATATTCGCTCTGAACTTTGATGTAGTTGTGATAAGATTATAGTCTGAATTGGCTGTGAACCGCGCCTCATGGACAAATAAGTTGCTATAGCCCCCAACAAGAGAACCGAATAGGCATATGTCTACATCGTCTCTTTGCCATGAGTTGAGTGCTGGCCTGTAAACAAGCTAGAGGCGATGAAAATAAATAGTACCCAGTGAACAATTAACTTGTGCATGCCTGAGATGATTACATTGGCAGTTTCTGCAGCAAACCTATCTAACCAATAAGCCGTGATAAAGCTTTATGTGCAGAGACCTCGGAGGCGAACTGAGAATGGGCGCTGTCACACAAGCAGAATGATCAGAACACATAACCAACAGATAAGGAGGGTAATACCCATGTCCTTTGATGACTAACACCCCCGGATACGAACCGGGGCAACCGGGAACAAGGCGATGGAGACTAGAAGCCTTGTTATTAACGGTTATTATGGGCTCGTGCATAAGAATCCACACGGGCCAAAGTTCTCTGCGTGGTCTTGGGCAGCCAATGCTCATGCCTCAATGGACGGTAGTTGTTATGATGGATGTGCTTTTGAGTTTCCAGGCTGATGATTCCCTGTTGTCCATCGATTCCCTCTCTGGACACGGCAGTGTTGCGTGTGCCGCCATATGAAACACAAACGTGTGTGTGGGGTCGGAGGGGGCACCTCCATTTTGCGCGCGCCGTTTCATTTGAGGCTCAATGAGCTTTCGTTTCTCCCCTCTTCCAGCTTCGTTCATCCATCTTCGCTGGACGAGGGCCTGCGCCAACATTGCGCGTCGCTGTCACAATGCCGGGCATCCCTAGGACCAAGGGCTGCTCCGTCTGCAAGATCAGAAAGATAAAGGTAAGGCTGCGCTGTGAGAAAAGAGATGAAATGAAATGAAGAAGAACGCGAGCCCTGACTTGGATGGTTGCACCAGTGTGACGAGAATTGGCCGAGTTGCACCCCTTGCCGGCGCTCCAAACGCGAATGTCCGGGCCCAACGCCGCTTGTCAATGTCTCGTACATCGCTCCTCGAGATGCTGCGCCGGGATCAGCCAGTCATGGCAGCAAAAGAGGGCTCGTCATTCGTGCTGGCCATCGCGCGACGGCCAGACCCAAGCTCAGCCCACCTTCTAACTCCCATCGCCACGGCCATCATCCATCCGAATGCGGCCCTCTCACAACATCGAGATGCCAGGAGTCGCGTTGCCTCGGGGCTATCCGCTCTCATCCCACGAGTCGCCCTGACCAGCTTGCATCGTATCTCACTGCTGTTTTAAATGACGGCACCTACCAGGGTGATCTCGCCCAGCTGGACGTGTTGTCTTTCATCCCTCAACGCATGCACGTCAGTCCGTGCCTGACTGATAGCGTGGCATTCTGGTGTCACCTACAACTAGACACGCGTCGAAAACTCCCAAAGCCCAGTGTGGCCACCTTGCATTACTACAGCAAGGCCCTCCAGAGCCTCCAGAGCACCTTGGAAGGCAAGAATGCCTATCGGACTGAGACTCTGGCGGCGGCGGTCCTCCTTCAGCGAACCACCCTGCCTTTCCATAAAATGGTCAAGTCCGACGCGATTGCACACGCCAAGGGCATCTCAGCCTTGGTCATGCAGAGAGGTCCTCCTAATTTGGATGACGATCTTGATGTCTCGCTGGCCATTGAATTGTGCTCGAACCTGGTAAGTTCTCCTCTTCTTCCCCAATTACCTTCCTATTTGTGTCCACGAGACGTTGACAGACTCTGCTCCCTCTAGTTCTGCTGGCATAATCATGGAGATGATGATGACACAGATCATTCTGAGGTAGAGCCAGCATCAACCGATGTTGACGACGGAGAACCCCCTGCGGAATCTTTATCACTTCCAGGACAAGACGTCGTTCGAAAGGTTTTTGTCGACTTGCTGAATACTATACCAGCCCTCAACGCCATCCATGAAAATCCAGAATCCAGGGAGACAGTATCGCTCGAAGCAGCAGATGTCCGTCGACGGCTCTACGATTTAAATGCCATCGCGTCTCAAGCGGCTTCCCAGATTAAAACCCAGCTCACCGAGATGGGACTGATCCAGGTATTACCCGACCCCGAGTCCTTCGTCAAACAAAGATATGAATTCGCCTCAGTCGACATAGCTCAGGCTGTTCTCGGGATTTTCATTCTCGAAATCATTGCACCCAGAATGCTACTTGGGCTCATCTCACTTTGTGACCCCCCAGAATCGGACGACGTGTTGCAGAAATACCGTGATGCCTCCGTCCAACTCTGGATGTGCATCCCGTATTTGGACAAACTGGAACTCACCGATGCGCAGATCATCTCCTGCGCCTTCTGCCTCAGCTATGAAGCGGCCGATGCCACCGAGAGGGATCTCGTCGCGGACACTGCCGCACGCTACGAACCCTACCTCTCGAGGCTAAAGAACAACCGCACTCTGTTGATCGAGCGGGTGATACGGACCGCAAGACAATTGACTGGCAGTGCAGACATCATGCCCATACAAGTGCTGATGATTAACCCGACTAAAAAATCACCACCCGCTAAGAAGAGCCAACCTCGGAGGTCATCTAGCAAGCCACAGGCTGCCCATCTTCTTCACGGCTGCTTGTTCTTCCAGGGGATCTTGAGCCCAGATGACCCTTGATCCGGTTGGCCGATCAGCTTTTACGATTATAGCGTCCTGTCGGGTGGTCACGTTCATCGACCGCTTGTGCGCAGATATTGATTATCTTAATGGGTCGGAATTTTAAAGACCTGCCTCGTGTTCATTCAAATTCCGGCATTGGGGTGGCACGACGTGAGGTTACATCCTACGACAACGTACCTGGTCAATCGGAACAAGGTGACGAATCGGTATTACGCGGCGAGCTAAGCTATCTGATCCGAGCGAACATTCGGAGACAATATGGTGACTTTATGGCATTAACCTGGGGTATGGCGCCAATACCGCTGTCGGCTACTTGGACCGATTTCAAAGATGCCGGAGTCTACCACATTGGTCTGAGTCAAGGATCGGAAGGTTGATGCGCAAGAACACAAACGACGCTGTGGCAGTGTGGCCGTGCAACCTGGCATACGAATTCTGTGGGAGATTACTCTATCAGTTTAATTGGGGAAAAAAAGAAGAAACAGTATCTGTAGCCAAGGAGAAATGCTTGGTACACTCGCTTGCAAGAACTGGACACTCATTTTATTTCCTTGGTTTTCTTTCCATAACCGTGGCTGCTACTATTTTAAGCACGTCGGTACATATCTCGGGCCTCTCGGCCCCTCCCGTGACTCTCGGCAGTGCGAGTTGATCACACCTCATTGGGCCTGTCTCTGACGATGGGCCAAAGCACATCATTCTCGTGTCGCGAAGTCACGATGTCCCCTCCTTGGCAGCTACTTGAGCGATGTCACTGCGGAGATACATGGAAAATTACACGCCCCTGATAGTTCTAGAATGTCAACTTGAAATAAATACAAAGGGTATGATTCGTATGATTCGTACACTGCAAAATTCAAAATCAACAGATTCTGAAACCGTGTCTCAGACAGCGTCGTATTTTGCCGTAATGATGACCAAGGCGCCTGGGGTCTTCGCCCTCATTCCCTCTCACATTCGGTGTGCCAAAATTTGCATGGCATGAGCACGAGTCAAGAGGAACTGCCTTCTCTGTGGATATTACTCTATACTATCATAGTACTGATTTAAAGTCGAACCGGCCGGCAGGATAAAAAGAGTCCATGCAGTTTAGCTTAAACATTCGCGTGCTTCGACCATCCATCAAAGGATGTCATCCAGAGCAGCAAATCTGACCCCGGCTATGGCATCATCCCCAGGACCCGCTTGAAATGCCCAAGAATAGGTCCAATCACCATCGGAACTGGAACCAGTGAGCCTATCTTAATTACGCTCCCGTCAGTATAATTAAACCCCATGGTTTTGCAGATAGACCTACCTAAATGGGGAGGATCGAATGCATCCCATCAGGTGAAGGATGTTTTCCTTACACAGACACCCCTTCTTCCTCTGTTGCAGCCGGATTTTCGACATTTGTTCATTCAATGCCGTCATTAATTCTCTCCAATCGGGAAAGTGTATAGATGTGCAGCCATGTACGATGTTGCAATGGCGGATCCTTCCTAATGCCGAATTCTCAGTTTCAGGATAAAGATCATCATAGGGTCTCAGTTGTGTGGAACTTATAAGGTCTAGCAGGAATTCCCCCAAATTTGCCGAGTGTAGTCCGCCATCCTCCAGAATCTTTCTTCTTAAGAACAATTCTGAGAAGTTCGCCGTTCAAGCCCACCAGAGTGCCAACCGGAAAACGAGATCTGTTTCTTGACTGCCCTCCCAAGTCATTATGCGCTATACATTAGCTCCGGCTATCCTAGCCCTCGTCACACAGACACTCGGAGCTGCTATTAGCACTCGTCAGACTTCCGAGGTCCCCAAAACCGACTTCGACGCAATCATTGTGGGCGGTGGCCCCTCTGGTCTCAGTGCGCTCAGCGGCCTGGCACGTGTGAGAAGAAATGTCCTCCTCATTGATTCTGGAGTCTATCGTAACGGACCGACCCGGCATTTACATGACCTTATTGGTCTTGACGGTATGAGCTCCCATGCCTGCCTAGTAAATAGCTAGGATTTAAAGACCAAACACGAGCCGTTTCTAACGAAGGATTATAGGTCTGACCCCAGCATATTACCGCTGGCTTGCGCGAGAGCAGCTCGCTTACTACAACACTGTCGAATTGACCAACGGCACTGTGACCAAGATTGAGCCTCAAGAGAATAATACCTACTTCCGCGTAATCACGGATAACCGGGAACCTGTCACCGCCCGGAAGATTGTTCTTGGAACGGGTCTGCGTGACATTTTGCCAGAGACCCCAGGCATTCGCGAGAATTGGGGCAAGGGTATTTTCTGGTGCCCCTGGTGCGATGGTCATGAACATGCGGACCAGGGGCTGGGTCTTCTCTCCAGCTTGGAGTCAGTCGCTGGTCTAGTCCGGGAGGTCGCGAGCCTCAACAAGGATGTCGTTGCCTTTGTTAACGGCACAGACACTCCAGAGGCGCGCGCTCTAGCCGAGAAGAACTTCCCGGACTGGGAGAAGTATCTTGAGCTGAAGAAGGTGAAGGTTTACAACAGCACCATTGAGCGCCTCGAGCGTCTGCAGAACGCTACCCTTGGTGACCCCAGTCTGCCTACCTATCCAGAGCATGATAAGTTCCGTGTGCACCTGGCCGATGGACAGAAGGTCGAGCGAGACGCATTCCTTACCAACTACGATGATGAGCAGGCGAGCTCAGTCGGCCCTGACCTCGGTGTCCGGTTGGATGGCGGACGACTGGCCGCTGACAATTCCAAGGGCCTGGCGACAAACATTCCCGGTGTCTATGCTATTGGAGACGCCAATGCCGATAACGTGACCAACATCCCGCATGCTCTCTTCACCGGCAAGCGTACCGCTGTGTATCTTCATGGTAAGTAATATGCGTGAAATACTTTTTTAGAATCATTGAAACTGACAGGGTTGTAGTGCAACTTGAGCGCGAGAATGCACTTGCTGAACTTGAAGCTTACAAGGGAAACCAGACGCTGGCAGAGAGGGATTTCAACGACGGCGATCTTCGTGCCGTCTGGAAGCGAATGAACGGCGAGCCAGGCGACTTGCTATATGCTGGCGAATACCGACAGTAAATTCCGAGCATGGCCTCAGAATATCATGGGTGATGAGATCTTGATTGCTTATGCTTTTTCAAAATAATCTGGGAGCAGGTGGTGTCTGAGACTCCGGGACAAAAAATTATTGTTTTAGCATCTTTCTTCGACTGTATTGTTCTTAAGAATGAGGAAGTTATTAGAGATGCCCCAAGAGACGGATAATAATTTAGTTACAATTTCAGAAACCATGTTATTATTTATCTGCGTTATTCGTTTCAGTAACGACACATCAGAGTCAGCAATCACGGCTATTCAAAAAAACCATTTGCCACACCTCCAAGGAATAGTTCGCGCATCCAGGCAAAGCCTTAGTTGTTTAAAGCCCAGCGGTCTTCAGAATTCCTAGCTTCCTAGCCTCCAAGATCGGTACAGTTTGGGACCATACCCTCTTCTGGACTTCATTGCCCAAGTCAGTATAAATCCAATCCTCCACGTTCTGGTTTTTGCCATCGCTCTGGAATTCCCCTAGCGAGTTCTCCGGCGCGGAGGCAGCCAGCACCAAACACCGACCACCCACCTCGCCCGTCCGCCCCAGAAGTTTGTACATGAGTCGAAGCCCAAATGAGCTACTCTCACGGCTGAGAGTGCTGTAACAAAGGCCTGGATTGACCACGTTGATAATAACTGGGTGAGCATTGAAACTGGGGTCCGACTTCAACCTTGCCACCAGTTCGCGGACCAGCAGAATCTCCAGGAGCTTTGTCACTTCGTATCTTTTCTGTCCATTGTACGACTCTTCTTCGTTCAATCTCTCGTAAAGGTCGGAGGCGTTGATTTCTGGGAAGGTGGTCAGGCGGTGGGCCTCTGAGCTGACGACTGTCAAATGCGGCACCGAGTCCAGAAATTTAGTCTTCGTTTGGCGGAGCTTTGGTAACAGCCCCAGTACCAGAAGAAACGTATTCAACACGTTTACTTGTGTCGTCTGCTCGTGGCCCTCGACGACCTTGAAAATCTTCGTGTTGATACCTGCGTTCAACACGACGGCGTCGAGCCGTGGCAGCTCCGTCAGAACGCGCTCCATGAAGTCAATGGTTGACTTGTTGCTCGCCTGGTCTAGTGGCCAGACTTCGATGGCGTCGGCATCGCTTCGATTACCAACGCTTTTCAGGATATCCTCCTTTGCTGCTTCACCTTTGGAAATAGTCCGGACCGCAAGGATCAGTTTGGACGCGTTGAGCCTATAGAAGTGGCGAGCAGCCTCAAGCCCTAGCCCAACATTTGAACCTGTGACTATGACTGTCTTCCCAGAAAAGGAAGCCTCGGGATGGGGAGGTGTTACGAAGAGCTGCGAGTGTAGGAAGAGGCGGAGGCCAGCCCCAACGTTTGGCTGAATCTGAAAGGTCTTTGCCATAGCGAAAACAAAAGAGTGTTACTAGAATAGGCTTGTCAATCAATTGGATAATTCGGATTTGCATTCTCAACTGAGTTCCAGTCTCTATTTAATACTTCTTGAGCAAACATCGCCGTACCAAGATCCATATCATGATGCTTTTACCTCTTGTCCCGATGAGGAATTTGTTCAAGGATTCCAGAAGACCCGTTTAATTTATCCACATAAGAATGGGTAGATGGCCTGAAACTAGTCTGTTCTAGGAATGTGTTCGATGTATTGCACCATGACAAATCTGCTGACTCGTGAGATTGTAGCCCCAGATCGATCTTGACTCTTGAATCATTTGGCTCTCGTTGTCATTTTCTGCATCAACACATTCTACTTTTGGAAATCGTCTCGAAAACCGACCAATCCATCATTCCAACGCTATCCACTGTCGAGCGTATCATAGCCAGGTAGAACCTGATGGAGTCGACCGGGTTTTTGCCTGGTCTGCACTTCATCGTCACCAGCCATCCGCAGGACGCGACCACTTCAGATTCGCTACGTCAGATCCGGTCTCACGCAGCCAGAGAAACGCGCTCTCGTGCACGTAGATTGATCAAAAAGCCTGCTTCCGGTCCCCGGAGGAAGATCAGGCCCCGTACGAACATAGATGATAGCACCCATGACGAACAAGGCCGCAACAAGCAGGCGTGCCTGACCTCTAAAATGGATAGGGGTCGAGAGTCGATTGACCCAAGCGCAATTGACCTCCCTACCATAGAGTACTCCGACCCATATCAGTCTGCAAAACTCTCCCGTGACGCGGCATGCTTGGGTTCCGTCCGCCCTTTTTCCGATATTGAGTACTTCTTGTTTGATCACTGTACGCCCATCCTTGTTAGCAATATGCTGCTCGCCAACTAATGTTACAACCTCGACAGATATCAATTTTTATATCCCTTTTACTATTGGCCACTGCCACAGAAAGAAGAACCCGAACCTCGTCGCCATGCAGATGAACCACTGGGTTCCATTTGCTCTGACAGACGTGGGTCTCATTGCCGCCGTGTTCTTACAATCTTGCCGCAGCCTTGCATCATTGGTGACGACAAGTGCTTATGAGGATCTGTCGACCAAGTATCGGCTTCAATGCATCCGGTCCACAAACGCCTCCCTATCCAAAGCAGTCACACAGGCCAACGATGCGACAATCAGTATGGTAATGATACTGGCATCTGAGGAGGTTGGTGCTTCTACTCCTGACTGGACATAGAATGTGTACATTTTATCTTCTAACATGTTTTTTTATAGTTTGAGCGTGGTAATTTCGACGGATGGAACACGCACTTTGTTGCCATATCTCGTATGATTGCTATGAGGGGAGGGATTGATAACCTCGGAGTCGGGGGGCTGATGAAGGAAATTTTAATTAAGTAATAATCCCCCAATTCTCTCCCTGCCTCTTTCTCTATACTAACCAATTCAAGCACACCGTACTGCTACGGATTTTCGGATGAAGATGGTTAGAGACCGATACGTTGAGTCGATACCTTCATTAGAACCACAATCGCGAGCGACGAAAAGCTACAATGCACATATGAATTTTTATTATTGCTCTTAATCCGACTGTTGTCCAAGTTCATCATCGTCTTGTTCCATGTTGGTCCACAAGCGTTGTAAATCTCCTCTGAAGGCTCCGGCCGCAGAAAACGTAGCCTCTATCCTCCCCAGCAATGTTGAAACCGCCTCCCTTTGCGAACTGCTTCTTGAACGCGCCCCTGCAACCCGCAGTGGGAACAAAAGAAGGACAGCAGATACTCTTGACCTTTCAAGTACGGCCTGGCTTAATTCTAGAATGCAGCGCACGTGAGCTTGGATATCGTCCTCGGTCAAAGTTGGAAGCAGAGCTCCCAGATCAACCCAGTAATTAATCTCGTAGTCAAAGACTCCAGAGAGATAGATGCTTGTGGCAGCTTGAAAAACAGAAGCCAGGAGATCAAAGTCGTCAATATTTGGGCTTCGGCTCTGGTGGCCACTGATCATATATTCAATACTCTCAGTCTGCCACACGTTTAGGGCATCACGCAGTAGAAGGCCCTCAATAGCAATGTCGCGTGCTTCTTCCTGTTGTGAACCCCCATTTGATGAGCGAAACTTCTTGACATGTATAAATTCGGCGACCCTGGAGCTTGTTAGAATATCATTTGGGTATCTTTCGGACCATTGGGAAACTCACCGGGAACGCAGCGATGCGCAGCGCAGAATGATGTCAAGTAGATCATCAAAGGGATGTAGATTGCTGGGATCAATGGTGGATTGGACCCTCTTGGAGAAAGCAATCCACTCGTCTTGCATTAAGAAACTGGAATCATTGAAAACAATGGCCCTACAGACCTCGAAGATTTTGATTTCCATGAAAAACCTTTGCGGCAGCGAGCCTACACAGGCTTGGGGGCCGATGGCAACTAGAGCTTTGGACGTTCCGTGAACAAGATGTTGGACCCAGCGTTGCCCTGACGAATCAACCATGAGCTTGCGACATGTCAGCATCCTCTTCAATGAATCAGAGGCTAATTAATATTGTTGAAGCAAAACTCACCTCAAACAACCCCAAGAGCATGGTCGTCCACAATACTGCCAATTGTGGTTCTGGGCTTTGAGTTTGACACTCGATCGCATTTCGTAGACCAATGACAGCTTCATTGTAAAACGTGAGTGCCAGACGATAATTAGCAAGCCGGTGGTGGGGGTTGAGTTTGGTTGCTGTGAGTGCGCCCAATGCTAGGACTGATTGCCTGAGGAAGATGCCCGATGATGAGGACTGCACCATTTGCTTGATATCAAAGGACAAAATCCCTTGCTGGCTAAAAGCATTCTTTTGAACAAATCTATCCCAATACAGAAGAAAGTGGGCGTTGGGATCGAACTGGGGGTCGACCCTTGGTGTATCAATCAACCTTTTCCGCGTAACAAGACTCTTACTGCCAGTGGTCACCTTGCGAGACCCCTGGTCGATTATGATGTTGAAATGTTTTTTCTGCGGAGCAGGATACACGCAGTTGAATCCTCGTTTTTGGCAATACGTGCATGGTCTTGTCCCTGAACACTACGCGTGGAGAGTGAGATGAGGTCAGCTGGTTCAACACCCGGGCCAAGAGTGAGTTCCCCTAGTCAGGATCTCACCTTCACATGCTTCGAGACACACGTCTCGCACCGAAACGTTTTCTTGCGGCTGTCATTAGGTCCGATGGGCATATTTGCTCTTGCATTCTGCTAGGATCTTGAGAACAACAGGAATGGAAGACTGCTAAGTCCTTTTGAGGCATCAACTGAGCGAGATGTGTCTATCACGCTATTCCTGAAGAAGGAATAATCGTACGGCGCTAGGAGAAGCTACAATTTGTTACAGACTTCTAATTGGTTGAGCGTTCAGAGCGACCGCCCCACCCCCTAAATGTTGAGGCGCTGTGGCTAAGCACATTGTGGCTAATGTGCAGGACGACAACAGCGGGCAATACCAATGAACCAATCGTAACTCACGCTTCATACATCATGCACTGATCTTCTTCTATGTAGAAGCTGATCTAAGGATGGCGATTGCCTACCGTATTTGGAATCTTTGAGATCCAATATTGATTTGCCTGCCATGGTAAGTGTTGAGCCACTGATTACCTTTTTTAACACCACTATAACGTCGCCGTTGATAGTCACGCCCTAATAATCAAACAGGGTTCAAGTTGCAATTAAAAGATTAGAATTATTTTACTTATGACGTTATATATATCTATATACCTGTACATACTTAGATAGGGTCGATAAGCTTCAAGCAATGGAATGCGAAATCTGAGGTCGCTTGTCTAGGGTAGCTGTAAGGTCTGAGCAGACATGAACGGGGGGGCTTCCCACTAGAGCCGTTTCTGGAACTGACAAAATCAAGCGTTAGAAACGGTCGATACCACGTGATAACGCGCCAACGCAGCCTTACCCAAAATGGAAGCGCGTTTCAACAACCCAAACTTATTTTCTCCGATACACAATTATTACCCAACCTGCAGCAAAACCCCTGCTGCGATCGTTATTGCCATGGACCAGCCCAGACACTCCAACCATCACCGGCGGCGGGGATTCCGCGGCAAGAACAATACACGACCTCGGAGAGCTCGCACTGATGAGAGCCGTACGGATGCTGCTTCGTCGCAAACTACCGCAGCTGCGCCTCGTCAGGCCCAGCAAGAGGAAGATACTGTGATGACTGGCGCAACACCGGAAGTCACGGTGCCCTTGGATGATGCCAAGTTTTCTGACCTCAAAGGATCCAACCTTGTTCATCCTACCTTGATTGAGACCATTACAAATGATCTCAACTTCTCTCATATGACGCCTGTTCAGGCTGCCACACTTCACGATTTGCTTCCCCCAAGCCGCAGTGACTGTCTGGTTCAGGCAAAGACAGGAACTGGAAAGACCCTTGCATTCCTACTTCCGGCGTTGCAGACACTCATCACGAATCATCGCAACCAGGCTGAGCGAGGCTCCCCCGCTGTGTCTTTGCTGGTCATCTCCCCGACTCGAGAGCTTGCAATGCAAATTGCAACGGAGGCTACGAATCTTCTCCAGCGGTTTTCTAACTTCCATGTTCGTCTTGCTATTGGAGGCACGAACAAGGATCAGGAAGAGAGACGGATCCTTCAAAGCTGTAATGTGCTTGTTGCCACTCCTGGTCGTCTCCTTGATCACATGGCCAATGAGGATGTTTTGTACACGTTCCGCAGTCTCGAAACCCTCGTCCTCGACGAGGCTGATAGACTACTCGACATGGGATTCTCCAAGGCTCTGAGGGAGATTGTCAGCAAGCTTCCTAACAAGAAGGAGGTGAACAGACAGGGCATGCTGTTTTCAGCTACAATCGCCCAGCATGTCCACCAAGCTGCCGATCTTGTTCTTTCACCCGGGTACAAGTTCATTTCAACCGTCCCTGCGGGCGAGGCCAACACACATCAGCGTGTTCCGCAACTTCTCATCAAGGTCGACAAGTTCAGCAGCGTTGGCGCGGCTGTGGTTGGTTGCATTCGTGAAGAAGCCAAGCAACACCAAGACTTCAAAGTCATCATCTTTGCTCCCACTGCTCATTTGGCGGACTTTTATGGACACATTGTCTCTCAATTGTCCGATATGCCACCCGTCTCCATTCTCCATAGCCGGATTTCTCAGAGCAGGCGCACCAAGACCACAAATGAGTACCGTGATGCGAAGTCAGCCATCCTGGTCGCCACGGATGTTATCGCACGAGGCATGGATTTCCCGGGTGTCACTACTGTCGTCCAAGTCGGCATTCCTTCCGACAAGGAGAGTTACATTCATCGTTTGGGCCGTACAGCACGCGCTGGAGCGGAAGGCCGAGGAATATTCATCGTCACTGAGGCAGAGTCGTGGTTCCCAAGATGGACACTGAAGGAGATTACGTTTATCCCACACCCTGCTGATGTGTCTGCATTGGCAGAAGTTGAAGCAATTGCTACGGTCATGGATGAAACCGACAGAGCCAGGATTTATCAGGCATGGTTAGGATATTACAAGAACCACCTCAAGGGCTTCAAATGGACCAATGAGGAGCTGGTGGCTCAGGGCAATACGTTTGCCCATGAAGGTCTGGCATGCCCTGAGACGCCGCCCATTGCGAAGTCAACAGTTGGGAAAATGGGTCTGAAAGGTACTCGAGGTTTGGTTGTTGTCCCGGACCCCCCGAGGGCTCGAAGTGGTAGGGCAACGCGAGGACGGGGTAATCGTTCTTGATTATGAAGGGATATGAAAGGCTGTGGTGTATAGACAGGGAACAGAATAATGAATTCAGGATTCTAACTTGATGATGTCATTGTGCAAATTCCCAGACGCGGTTGTCTATAGGTGGTATACTCTTTAAGATTGAGTTGACCTCGAAAATTAGTCCAACATTATACATTGGATTTTATCGTGGCAACGGAATAAAAGGTGATAACCTTCAAGGTGTGCCATTGTCGTTTATATAGTTGCACGGTCCTTCGACAGCTAACCATAACGGGTGGCCGGGTAAGCAATTTCCAGCTAAAAACAGCTCCGTGCGGGTGTTGATTGTCTGTAATTTCGGCACAGGGTTAGGGGAGACTTCCGCCTCGGGTAAGAAAATAAACGATTGGTGCACCGATAATTAGACAAAGCAGGGTTATTAATTAAAAGTAAGCTAAGATGATTCTCTATTATTTTTCCCTTGTGGTTGCCCACCAATTCTAACTATCATGATTCCTCGATTATATTAGATACCACCAATGGCAAAGAGTACAGTAAAAAAGGAGAAGAGGCCAGCCCCCCCTCGAAGCAAAGATAGAAGTTCAAAGATGAATGCCCAAGTTGGCGTGCGATGACGTGGCACGCCGGTGGGTTTTTTTAAGCGCTGGAAGATGAGGAGGTTGAGTCACAGTCCTTCTCGTTCACCGCTGGATTATACCTGGGGCAACTGGAGCTCCAGAAGCAGTTGCCTCCGAGCATGAATCCCGTGGCCTTGATGTACTTTTGGATTTTGTGCGAGTTGCCGGAGCGCTTTTGCAACTCTAGCCCTAGCCGCCGGGTTTCTTGCTCGTGATGGATTACCAGCCCCTTGACGAATACAATCGCATCGTTCTCAGACAAGTGGCAGGACTCCATAATCACTGGAACAGCGTTCCACTGACGCTCACCACGGTCATTTCTTTCCACATTCCATGAATAGAGATCGTTTGTGAGTCCCATGGCACGACCTGCGGAAAGTGCAAACTCGTGACACATTTCTTGTTCGGCTTTGTCAAGTGTGATGCCCATTGTCCACAACATGAAACTCTCCATGATCCTGGATTATGCATTAGCGTTTCGGACATTTTTCTCAAGATAGTAAAGACTAGACATACCAAAACCCAACGTTGAGGATCCTGTACTCAGTGTACTCTGCGATGTTCGGAAGCTCACCGCCCTTTTGGCTGTCATAGTTGGCCAGGTATGACTTCAACGCTTCAATCACACGTGGTGTACCTTTTGGGTCTAGCTTTGACATCCGATCGCCGAATTTCTTGAACAGACCGGCGATAACGGTCTTGCGACTGGGTTTCTCAACGTCCTTCGCCGATCCGAAGGAATCTCGTAGACTGGCATGAGTCTTAAGCGCTTCGGTGTGAGGCACATCTTCGATGAGGTCTGCCCAGTCACATTGTTAGAAAAGTCTGCCATGTGATGAAAAGGGAGGGGAGGGGTGTGGTTAGAAAGCTCACCGTCGTAAAGCCAAAGTGTTTCGATAATCTCAGTGGCCAGCTTGACACGCTCCGTCTTGCCATATGGCCAGCACAGGGCGAAGAAATTACCATCTGGCCCGGCAGAGTGGGTTCGAAGATCCTGCCCCGGCATGAGGTCCAGCCACGCTTTTCGTGCGGCCAGGGCTCCCTCTTCGATTTGGGCCTCGGCACGGTGTCGTGCCACCGAAAATGTTGTAACGCAGGATGGAGAGGAGGACACAGAAATGGGCGTACATGACGACCGTTTAGAAAGAGTTCTGGAAAGACTAGAGGCAAGTTTTCGGGTTGAAATAGAGCCCTCCTCTATGTGGTTTGAGAGGTGGTTGGAAAGGGTCAGCATGGTGAGAGAGGTTGTGATGTGTACGATATGCACTTGAATGTCTTCACAGATGCCGAATAGATGATTCTTGAGAAGCATTGGTCGCTGTAGATTGTTTTGCAAGAATCAAAGGATAGTCCGCTTCTTATAGGAACCCAACGCACCGGTCCATGAGATGCAGTACCCCAACCCCAAGCTTTGATCCGAGCCATGATCCAATCTTTGCTTCCTAGCCTCGCCATCACACCGACCGCTGTAACCCTGCTTGATGTAGCTGGTCGTGATAGAACCGCACCGCGCATGCTAATTTTTCACGTTAATCCGAACCCCTATCGGGGGTGTACCTTGAAGCCCAAAATTTGGGATGATGTTGAACCGTAGTAACGGTCGGTGCGAAGCCCAATGAAAGAGAGCGCAGGGCATCCAGTGGATACGATTTCAGCACAACGGGATGCCCGGCCCGGAGCTTATGACAGGAGTCGTAGGCTAACGTGGCTTTTCTTGTCTCATCGAACGTCATAGAGTCTCCCGTTTGGGGGCCGATTGGTCATTTCCTGAGATCTGGGCTGGGTGTAGACCCTGGTTCCGTTTCCCAAGGCCACGGTCACGGTATGGACATCCCAAATCACAGCACGAGGCAACGCTGTCCCGGGACTCCTAAAACAGTAAGGATCCACAGATTTCAGGTTCTATTCTTCTAGGCTCAGGGATTGAGACGAATGCGTGTGTACGAGGTATGGGTCCTTCGAATCACGGTATTCAGCAACCCTTGACGGAAGCCGTATTTCTTTTTCGTTGTTCGTTTTTCACAAAAAGAAATAAATGGGTGAATTGTCAGACTTGTGACCCATAATCCGTCACAAAATGGGCCCCAGGTCGCTCTATATCGTTTGCTAGTGGTTGCATAACGAACACAATAGATGTCACACTTGATCAAGCACATTATTGGGCGAATAGTTGGGGTTAGACGCCTGTGCCGAAAGAACTTTTGTATTAGGACTGATCTGCATTCACGTGGAAATGTTTTTGATCATGGGAAGGACCACATTGTTGGTTCGTTGTTGGTTCATGTGTGATCGTGCTGCATGATCGACACTCAGTCACAAGCGCCGTGGCAATGATTGGACACCGTTGAAGCACGGCGGCAAAGGCACTGCACTGAGAGGGGTTGGGATAGCGCAGAGTCATATGACGAATGGAAGTTTTCTCGAAGGCACACCGATAAATTGGACTCGTGTGAGAGAAGTTGCTCGGGACCGGGGGTTCTGCCCCGGGAAATCCTTGCCGTCAGTTTTTAGGATAGGCACCAGCCCTCAGAATAGACCACACAGCCTATAATATCGGGTGTCTAGGACGTATCCGCGGTGGCGGGGAGCGACTCGGCGGATACTTGACCGTTTCCAAGTCAGCCTCGCTTAGAGCGCCTGGCTCAACTGTGGGCTCCAACCCTGGATGAACAACCCTGCAATTCGCAAAACTTCTTGCCGTATTTGTGGGTAAACGTTGAGAAAACACGGTACTTATTGTGATCACCCGTTGCAACCTGAAAGGGGTAATCCAGCGCACGCCCGATATCGTTCGACGGCGGTCAGGGTGCCCGCGTGCGCCTACTCCGGGAAGAATTTTCAGCTTCAAAGAGGCATAGTTCCACACGTTGCTCATTTTCTCGACTCTCTGTGCAATCCTGGTAGTATCATCCCTATGCGGTATATTGCTTCCAATAAAAGGAGTAATAGTGATTCAACGGAAAAAGGTTTTACCAGTCATGGTGTGTCTAAATACTTCTAAGAACATTCTCAACGACTTCCAAAAGTGAAATTCGGAGTCTCTCTCGCCTCTGCCTACTTACACCTCGACATCGGTAACACTGTGCTTTGGGCCCTTTTGAACGATGTGCTCCTCGCTTGTGTTTTGGTGTGTGTCCTGAATATCACTAAGCTTGATGTTCGGGCCCATTTCAATCCGTGAATTGGCGCTCTTTTTATAAGAACGACCCTGCGACCCGATCGAACCCCACGGAATGAACTTCAGCAGAGGTCGCAACGCGGCAAGGGAGGCAGTGAAGATGGTAAGTCCCAGCTCAGTGATCGAACTGATCATACAAGTTAGCATGGCTTCTCTAACAGACATTGTTCTCACTTGGTAGCTGCTGGTACTCACAAAACAAATGTCACTAGGTAAGCGTTGGCAGCTTCGGCACCAGTGGGAGACTTCATGTTGGCGACATCGATCAGATATTTCAGCCGCAGGACGGTTGCAATGGAGCTCCTATTCACTTAGGTCAGAGATCTGTAACAAACTAACAAATCACAGAACATGTTTTTACTTACACTACTCCCATTCCGAGAAGGAAGATTACCGATGCCTTCATCTTTGGGCTTAGTTGAACGCCTTTGAGTAGGAAGACTGGAATGATCTGCAGAGGTAAATGTTAACATCGTCTGACGATTCCCATCAAGAGACATGAGTGTACTAACGGCGTAAAGAAAGCTCGACGCGATGTCCATTGACGAAATGGCATATCCGACATTTCCCAACGTCTTGGCCGACATACAAGTTCCTTCACCGACTCCCCAAGCAAGGGACAAAGGCCGGCACTGAAGTCCAACCATTACGCTCGTTACCGTTGTCCATATCGCCATGATACCGACCGACGCTTCCAATATTCTTCGAATCACATTGTTACTGCTAGCGAGACGATAAAGAACGAGCGCCACGCTGACTTTGGCAACGAACACGAGGATTACGTATTCGATGGTCGAAATAACGAAGAACTATACGGGCGATCAGAACAAACTCCAACAATGAGCACGAGGAAACCAAACCAACCTTGACGGCGGTCACGACATCATAGTCTGGGTTGGGTGCATCATCACCATATCCAGCCTTGACTGATATAAAGGTGCAGGTGCAGAGGATGATAAATCCAGCCTGGTGATCTGTTAGTTGGTGTCGTGCGAGTCAAAGGGACAGCAAGACATTGGTTTCTTACATGAGCCAAGACCATGGCATAGTCGTCGTATCCGAACGACTTGCTAAGCATGGTCCGCACGTACACTCTTAAGCCTACGCATAGCGTATTGACGGCTAAGAAGACGATCATCGCCGGCTGGATGCTGTCTCGAGCCCACATTGTGCTTGTATTTGGACTATACTCGCACTCCGGTTTTCAAGGTTGATGTCTAGGCAAAGTCTTTTGGGCTTCACGGTTGCAGAAAGTAGAACATGGCCATCAACGAAGAAGTCGAAACGAAAAAGAGGTCTCTCGATGCTGCTTTTCAGTCAAAACGCCAATGCTACTCTGTAGGGGTCCTCCTGCAGCTCGCATGTCGTCTCGTGGATTCGCCGCTGCGGGTTTGTTGTGATGAACCAACACTGAAATGAGTCCAGCCCCTTGCTGTCCAGTTAGCGAGCTCAGCTTGGAAGAGATGTGCATCTCATCTCCTCATTCCTGCAGGTCCGGGCCAGGGGGCGGGGAGGAGCGTTGGATCCCGCAAGGGCTGAATCCATGGTCATTGGGCTGCATACGGCAATCGAAACAGAAAGTGGCGAAATTTACGGCCGGAGAGCTGAGACAGGTTATTGCAAAGTGATTACATTGGTTCGTCGCAGGTTATATTCCCCGCAATTAAGAGCTGTTGGTTGACATGTCGGCAGTGATTTGCAATCGCCGACGATGTTATCACCGATGCCGCAGAGCGATCCGCGCCTGTGCTTTCCGCATCAGACCACCCCGACCGACCGTAAATGGCTCTCCGTTTAGATGAATTATTCTAAATGTTGGTGATCCATTGGTTTTGTGAGAGATCTGTGATGCCTTGGACGGCATTCGAGGACTCTGCGCCTCTGACCTGCATATCAGACCTGCATATGATTTTCACTCTGCGTCGACATGCTCAGGCTCCCGACGCAAATTCAGCGAAATGCGTCCAGTCTTGGCCAAGCAGTGAGACAATATCTCCATACGCATCCAAATGGGTCTGCTGCAGGTGGGATGGAGTGCCCCTGTCCCCCTGCATCTTGGATGTAACCTCCCAGGTTGTTGCCCTGTTGGTGCATAGCAACAAGACCACGCCACGTTTCTGGAGACATCGCTGCATGCACTGCTCTCAGACTGGAATATCTTGCACTTCGAGGCTGATATTCGAGGACTCATTCCATCAGCGGGAGTAGAACTCGGCAGTGAGCCTTCTAACCAGATAGTCCGCTGCTATTGACGTGACGGCGATCTTATATCTAGCCAGGAAGTGCGGAGCGGGCCACGCTCGGCTCGGGCAATCCCGCTAGAAACTAGGCCGAAGAAGTAGCCCTCGGACCAACGCTTACTGGCCATCCTGGGCAACAGGAAATTGGGTTACATAGGTCTTTCATAATGGATGAAATAGACCCCTTTTTCATAAGCACGAACCAAAGATCTCTTACTGCTTGTATCACGCGCGTGGATCTCACCAGCTGCCATAAAAGTACGGGGTACCTCGTGCAGCGAATATAAATTCCTCCGAAAGAGCCCTTTTTCTGTCACCAAACCAGCAGACCACACCCAATCATCTCTGTTTGATATCCCGCTACACTCCAATCAAAATGGCTGAATCCGTCGCCCTTATGACCTCTATCGCCGATTCGGCACTCACTTCGAAGATAAGCGCCGTGTCTCTTGAACCGGAGCTTCCGGTCAGACCCGGAGATGTCACTGCTGACTGGCTCTCACGCGTCCTGGCCCGCAAGGTCAAGACCTTGACGCTCGACAGGATCATGCCCGGCACAGCCACCAAGGTCTTTGTGACTGTCACGTTTGATGAAGCTGGCGCAGTTCCCATCAAGTTATGCGTCAAGGGAGGGTTCAACCCCGACCTCATCAAGATGATGCCTTTTGTTGTTATGATCTACCAGCGCGAGGTCGACTTCTACAACAATGTGGCCCCGCTGCTCGAGCACATGGACCTTCCAAAGTCCTGGTGGGCAGAGCACAGCTCCGAACAGGGAATCATCGTCATGGAGGACCTGGAGTCTGCTGGCCACTCTTTCGGAAGTCCCTCCAAGTCTTGGTCAATGCCCAATGTGCTCACAGGTATTGAGCAGTTGGCGGCATTGCACGCCAGGACCTGGGGTGTCAGACACGCTGATTATCCATGGCTGACGTCCGATTACGACCAGGCCCTTCTCCACCTCATGCAGACCTACGATCAGGTGGTCCATTCGCCAGGTCGGCCGATCATCCCTGAGTACATGAAGGACCAGGATCGAATGACTGCAGTTCTCAAGAAGCATTACGCCTCTCGCAACCCCAAGTTCAACTGCCTTTTGCATGGGGATAGCCATGTCTCCAACACGTATCTCGTTAACGGCAAAACGCGCTTCCTTGACTGGCAGATGATCCACATCGGATCCGCGTTTCACGATGTTGCTTACTTTATCGGTGGCGCGCTTGATGTCCAGACGCGTCGTCGCCGTGAGTTTGACATTCTCGAGTATTATCTACGCACCCTCGAGAAGTTGGGAGGACCATGTCTTTACCTGAAAGATGAAGATGTCATGTTGGAGTATAAGAAGTCCTTTTTGGCTGGAGTCGGACCAATGATGTGTCCGTACGAGATGCAGCCCAGGGAGTGGGTGTTCCCCATGGCGGAGAGATATGCCGCTGCCCTGCATGATCACAATGTCTTGCAGCTTGTCGAAGCACTTCCATAAGGTTCATGCAAGATGATACAGGTATGCGTCTTTCCAACTTGACCATTTTCAGTTTACTCGTCATTGCTGACACCCTTCTTTTTCTAGGCTTGGGAGCGACTTTTGAAATGATTTTTGCTGCGTGGTATTAGGAGTATTGTAGGAGTTATTCTTGTAGAGCATTTGCTCGCTTCTGTGCATTCTGTGCAATATGACTTAGCCAGCTCTGGTCAAATTACCCTTGTATATAGTGTTGCTTTAATTTTCCAGAACTGAATCTCAAACCATTGATTGACACTGATGACCAGTAGAAAGGCTGCGCCATGTAAAATACGAAACACGCAGGCCAGGGGTAGCGGAGAATATGAACCGACCGTCCTTAAAACCGACCTCCCGCCGACCCCCGGTCAGATCTTTGGAAGGCTATTGGCCCATTTGAGTATATTGTATATCTCGACTTTTGCATTAATTCTTATAAACTGACTGAGCTAGTCGGATGATATATTCTTGCAGGGGTCGGTTATTCCCACCCAAATAAGTATCTGTACGCGAAGGAGGTATGGAGCAGATGCAGGGTTGCTTAACACCGATCCAATGTAGTATTGCAAACACATCTCATCATAAAGATCAAGTTGAAGACGCGATAGAGTGGGTGATTTGCTAATAGCTAGTACATAAAGTAGGTAAGTTAATCAAACATTCAGATATTACACACTGTTAGATATATCCTCAGGGAACTGATGCCTCGCCCACGCCTGGATCTGCTTGCTGATGGGAGATCGAACTGATGGGAGATCGGAGCCTGCCTCCCCCCAAGCGGGTTTGTTAGGTTATGACATACATTTCGACTAGTTGTCAAGTTCCTTGATCTTGACTCCTTCGTTCTTCTCCATGCCAAGATCTCCCTCGACAATGGTCCCGTCAGACTCATGACCTGCATTGTTGAGAGTGGAATCGGTGTCCATGGCTTCCTTCCTCCTGGCATCAAGAGCCTTCATGTCAATTACCGGGCCGGTGAAGGAGTTCTTCTTGCCCATGAACCAGAACACGAAAATGGAAGCTGTTGCCACGGAGACCACGATAGGGACGTAGTTCATGTTCATCGCTGTGATGGGCAAGGTGGTCGGGAAGCAGAAGAGTATGTTGAGCCCGAAAACCCACAGTACAGAGAGGGCGTTGATGATCACGCCGTATCTCCCAAGGTTGAACCAGCGTGGTGGTAGTACCCGATCCCGACCGCGGAAAAGAACGATGGCTTGTGGAAGGACAATTGAGGTCTGGATAAAGATGATGGTCGCGTTGACCATCGCAGAAAAGGCTGTTGTCGACCCGAGGAAGATGAGGCCGTACGCCTGATGACATGGTGGTGAGCTTTCAGTACTTGGTGGTGCAAAGGGCGTTTCTTACCGTTATGAATGATGCTGATAAAATCATAGAATTAACTGGGACATCGAAATGGGGGTTGACCTTTTGCCAGAGATGCGAGAATGGAAGGACGTCGTCGCGCGAAACTGCCCAGACTGTTCGTGATCCCGTGGTAGCTGGAGTGGACAGAGAAGTTAGCGAGCTGTAGAAGTTGGCAGCCGATGTTAGAAACTCACTCGAGGCAATCAAGGTGCTGAACTGGAACATTGAGAAAACGCCCAAGAGCACCGAGGCGGCTAATTTCGAGTCAGTTGCCTGTAGGTATATCTCAAATAGAGGCAGGCCTGTAGCAGTATTCAGAACCGATTCAATGTCCTTTATAGCGTAGAGTAGAGCACCCGCGAAAGGGAATGCCGTGAGAAATCCCGTGACAACTGGAAAGATGGTCACCAGTGGAACGTTCTTGGAAGGGTTCGGGATCTCCTCAGCCAACTTTGCAGCACAGTCGCCACCCATAAACGCGTACACTGCATTCCCCATGGCAAGTAAAAAGCCGAAACCGTCACTAGACCAGCCAGTGTGTGTTTCCATGTTTGTGAAGATGAATTCGGCTGACTGATGATGCCCCCGAGCAACGACGAACATGGTGACCATGGTTGAGGTCATTGTTATCAGCGCGAATACGAACATCATCTTGTTGAAATACGGGATCCAGTTGGCCGCGAAGATATTAAAGGACGCGGCCAGCCAGACGAACGTAACAAACAGCAGATATTTCTGCCAGGCCTGCGGTTCATAGTCCTCATTCCAGGCCACCACAATGTTCAAGATAGTCCCGGCAACAAAGTTGGCAACAGCGCCTGCCGAGAACCACCAACCAATAACGCTCAACATGGCGGTACTAAGTGGCTTCGATTAGCTGGCTTTCGTGAGAAGAAAAAATAATCCGGTTCGGGGTAGACCTGGACCTACAGAAAAGCTGCAAAGGCTCGGTAGTCGTCGCTCGCAACCATGTAGGACCAGTAATACTGGGCACCAGACACAGGATATGCGGAAGCCAATTCGGCCATTCCGGCTGCTACGACGGTTGTCATTGTGCCTGCGACGAGAAGAGACCACATTACTCCGCCGGAAGATGCAGCCCTAAGTCCAATGCCCATCGATGAGCCTGTCCCTTGCCAGGTGCCGGTCATCGTAAACGACAAGGCACCGAGGGACCAGAGCGAGAAGCGTCGAGGCATCTGAGACTCGTAGCCGGCGGCTTCCAGCTCGTTTTCATCTTTCTCCGAAGACATGTTGTCGGTTGTGGCTGAATGCTCGTCGCGAAAAAGGAAAACGAGGTTCTGAAGGTAATAATGCCTCTATTACGAGATGTTGATTTCATCTTTTCTTTCTTTGGTTCTTCAATGGGATATATCCTTGGAATATCTGCGAGACGAGAGGGAGATTTGGTATGCAGGCCCTGATAAGGCCACATGCCAGTGGACGGCGGGGTGGTTGAGGATGATGTCCATCGCCAATCCCTCTCCCTTCAACTGGGGACGCATCAATGATCGAGAAAATTCGCAGCATGTTATCTCCGGCATCTCTCTTGGTTGACTTCATCATGAATAATTGAGCAAGATTGTGGGTGACAGAAACGCCCGCTGCACCAGCTTCTGGAACGCAGCCCACTCTGAAACCCAACCTCCCTCTGGCTCCATCAGATCATCGAGAGTGCACCTCGATAAGAAGTGAAATTAGGAAATGAAGAAGAAACTTTGTGATATCAAAAATCAATATTGCATTCATCACCAAAATGCCAAATGCAAATTTGGCTTCGTTTCAGTTGAACGTCAGAGTCAGCCACCTCCATTGTCCGAAGTGTGCGGCCGATACGAGACCGCATGTCTCCCTTGTTTTATGGGGAAGCCCCTCAATATGACCGACATGACTTGCCTGGTCGCGCTAAACAGAATCACAGGTGCGAGCTTTTGCCTCTTGCTGGCGCGCATGAGGGCCTTTGCTCAACCGGCAGGGATATATCAACCTAGATATCTATCTCCACGAGCCTGCCCGATGGAGGGGAATAGCATGGTTTGGGAATTCTGCAGGGGATGGACAGACCCGCCAGATAAGCCGGCCCAGGGTAACAAAATACACTGGTTGGTCCAGCCTGCGTCTGGAGATAAGAGTCGCGACTCGTGCAGCGGACGATCTTCACCTGTTGTCACGTGTAGCTCGTATGTAACACACCCCGCACGGCTCTAACATCCCGTCCCGTCTCCTTTATCTCGCTCAACTTCGACCGTCAATACCGATCCAGCTTGGAGTCCTCCTTCCTGCCACGTCAACATGTCTCATCAGCCTTCTCGAGAGAGATCCGACAGCACGTCTGCGGCTTTAGTTGGCAGGGAGCTGGCTGCCGATCCCGATATCGCTAAGCGGGTGCTCAGAAAAATTGACTATACCATCATTCCTTTGTTGTTTGTAACCTACATGTTCAATTTTATGGACAAGACTATCCTGTCGAGCGCCGCGGTATTTGGCCTGAGAGAAGACAATGTATGTTCATTGGGAGGGTGATCAAGGGATGTGTGAGCAGCCAAAATTGTAGTTGTTGATATTGATTTGTTCCCGAAGCACCTGAAGAACCAAGAGTACAGCTGGGTTGGAAGCATATTCTACTTTGGCTACCTTGTTTTCGAATACCCAGCCACCATACTCATCGCTCGGCTGCCCACGGCTCGATATCTCACGGTCAACACTGTCTTTTGGGGCATAGTCGTAGCGCTCACGGCAGCATGCTCGAATTTTGCTGGTCTTATGACGGTGCGGTTCCTCCTTGGAATGGCGGAGGCCAGCATCACTCCGGGCTTCATGTTTCTCACCTCGACATGGTATACCCGAGATGAAATGCCGACTCGTGTAGGCATTTGGTTCGCTGGAAATTCATGTGGAGGCTTGGCCTCCAGCCTGCTGGCTTTTGGTGTTGGCCACATCGGCGATCACGTGCACCCTTGGAGATGGATGTACATCATTCTCGGCGTGGGTACGTTTCTGTGGGCTATTCCCATCTTCCTCTTGCTCCCAGATTCCATCTCCACCGCTCGTTTCCTCACATCCGAGGAGCGGCAGGTCGCTGCCAACCGCACTGCTACTGCAGGCACGGGCAGCACTGAGAACGCACGTTGGAAGCTTAGCCAGGTCAAGGAGTGCCTTATTGACCCCAAGACCTGGCTTATATTTTTCATCCAGTTGCTCACTCAGATCCCAAATGGTGGTACGCAGAGCTTCAACAATATCGTAATCACATCATTTGGCTTCACGGAGTTGCAGTCTACACTGATCAACATCCCATATTCATTGATCTGCGCCGGTATCATCGCTGCTACAGGCTTCTTAGCTGGCCGTTACCGTAGCCTCAACTGCTTATTGATCGTCATCGTCGTAATCCCTTGTATCGTTGGTGCCGCCATCATATACCACCGCGACAAAGTTGCCCATGGCGTCCAGCTCTTCGCCTATTTTCTACTATCGTCAGGCCCTGCAGCAGTTCCGCTGAACATGTCACTGGTACAATCCAACTACCGCGGAGTGACGAAGAAGATGACAATCACGGCAATGATGTTTATGGCCTACTGTGCAGGGAACATTGCCGGTCCGCATTTCTTCCGCTACACCGAGGCGCCTAGATACGAGACTGCTTTTCAGGCTATTTTGATTTGCTACGTTCTTGTTATCGGATTGGCCATAGGCTTGCGATTCTATCTGCAGTGGATAAACAGGCGTCGGACCATCAAGGAGGGCATTGAGGGAAATGCAGGCACATCAGGTGTGCTGAAGAACGGCAAAGTTGCCACGACAATCACAGAGTCTACTCTCCGACAGGCAACCAACGAGCCGAGCCCTGAACTGGAAGCCGATGAAGATGTGACAGACTGGGAGACTGTAGGTTTTAGATATCGCCTCTAGAGCTTAAGTGTTCAAAATGATACGGTGGCGAAGGGTTACCCCAGAAGCACCGCAAAAATTTCATTTAGTACAGCCCGGTAATAGTTAGAATCATTATATTTTGGGCGAGTAGACATATTATGATTCTATCTACGGTTCCTAGTATAAAAGGTACATGTGCGAGAAACCCAAACATGATACTTGATTTCGAAAGAACAACCCATCACTCTTTTGCAGCTCTTTTCTCCATGAATGACTTTGAGGAAAGGTCCATCTGTCTTCGGAGCTCCTAAGGCCGTATTGGCAGTGGGGCAGGAGACACCCCTTTCGGTTCAACCACTACAAAGTCTCTGATGATTGCACTACCATCAGCCAGCGCCTCCAATTGCTCGTTTGTACAAGAATTTGTAGTCTGCGACAGGAAGCAAGTGTTATTCACAGGGGCAGGAATTTCATTCTTGACATTTCGAATATCCCCGGGTCCTTTTGAAGAATAGCCCGCGTCTTCCTTGAGGTTGATTCGACCGGTGGCAACATCGTGCCTGAACATGGCGCGGTCAAAGACCTTGGAGAGGGTCTCGGGCTGGTAGTTACCGACACCGTGGCCAGCTTGAAAGATTCGAGAGAACGAAAGCTTGCCATGCTCACGCACAAAGCCTCCCTGGTACGAACAGTTGGTTTTTATGTGCTCATAGCCAGCTGCCCGGAACTGGTCTGCTGAATCGAACGAAAGAGAGAGACTGACGTTTTCTCCTCCAAACCCTTTGAAAATGTATTAGTAAAGCAATATCTTAATTGATGAGGGTGTTCACATACAATTGCATCGGTAGTCCCGATCGCCGTACACAAGTGCGACATTGGCACCGCCTTCAAGAACTTTCTCGAGAGAATGCAATGACCTCCTCATTGGGTCACCGACCTGAGTCATGAAGAGCGCTTGAGTCATATCGGAGGTAATGGTGAAGTTGACGGGGACTCCCAGTTCCTCCTGAACCCAGCGTTGGTTATAGAACGCATCATTGTACGGTTCCGGCACAACTGTAAGATTGGAAAGGGTCACATCATAAGCCGACCGCTAAGGGGAAATGGTGAGCAAGGCTTCTCCAACAGGCGACGGTGATTAACTTACATCCGAAAGTTGCGAGTAGGCACCTTGAAGTTGGAAGAAACAGAGATCCGTTGCCGCCATGCAAGCCTCGTTGACCGTTTCATTCGCCCCAAAGCTTTGAGGGTCGCCTTCCTCAGCAAGAGCTCGACATCTATCAATCAATCCATAGCAGCCCTCATCCGAGTCTGTGATGTTAGACATAATGACTTCATACACCTCCTCTGAGTAGACTTCGAGGCCAAAGGTATTGTTGTAGGCAAACGTTGAATAGCCCTGGGCCATGGCTCGAGCATCGACGCATGCATCAGTTAAACCAAGAGTCGCTAAATTCAAAACTGTGGCATTCGGGAGAGCGGCCGCCTGGTAATTTTGGATGAGTTTATTTTGCTCTTGAAAATAGTGGAAGACAGTAGGCCCGTAGAATCCCCCATACTAATCAAAGTCAACATTCTTGCGCCTTATCTTGGGCGGAATTAGGTTCTTACCGAGGCTGCCCAGAGGGACAACTGGTCGTTGTCACTTTGCCGCTTTGGAAAGCTGAAATGGGCAATGATGGTTAGTTTGGTGTCTTAAAGCTATGTTGCTGCGTGGTTATATGGACATACTCTTGTATCCAGACCTGTGTAAATACCCACATCGTCCGCGCCACACTCATTGTGTTATTTGTGGTAGTGATCGGGTCACTTGGGTCGAACGTGGCTTGACGAACCGTGGCATTGAGTGGAGGTAACTCGGCTTCGTTTTCGACAGGAGTGAATTCGCGGGTGAGAAGGTCTTTGAACCCATTCGCAAGAGTCACATATGAGAAGCCTGTACCTACCGGCTGGTCAACATAGAGCATATTGACATTGTTATTCCAGGAAAACTTGTTTAGAGTCGTCGAGTTTGAGTCATGGTTGAAGAAGCATGGAAAATCCGACATCCCATCAAAGGAAGTTGTTCCAGGGCCACCGCCCATATACAGTGACGTTGGTGCAGTGGTTGGGTTGTTCCTAGCCTCTGAAGTCTAGCATTAGACACAGTCATCCCCAAGACGCGTGAATCATGGGTAGAGATTGCTCACCGAAGTACCAAAAGAACAATTTGGCCGACAGGCCTTCTGGCCACCCACTTGCATCTGGAAGGAGATGTTTTGGAATCTTGACGTATCCTGTGTATGAGTTTACACCTTCCGTGGTCTCACATATGCTGGTCTATTCGAGTGCGCGATGGTCAGAGTTTTCAGCAAATTCATACCGGGAATGATAATCCCGAACCTTTTTAAAGGAGATTTCTGCCCCTTCGAAGAGTGTTGATGTGATGACTGTTGTATGCTGGGGGGCTGGGATGAAGGTTTGTGCCAGAGAGGTGCCCGCCAGCAGTGATAGGAATGAGGTGATCCAGCGCATCCTTTTAAGCCTTGTGTTTCGAAATATGTTGAGATAATAATGATCAAACAATATAAGCAGGATTTGAATGAATCCAATTGACCCGATTATATTGGCTTTGAGATTCGCGAGGGCGCTGCATCTTTTATATCCCCGTTCCTCGTAGCTGGCTTGCAACATAGAAAGGTGAATAGCGACGCAGCCTATCAATTATCGAATACCCGAGAACCCCGGCATTTCAGTATCTTTTTTACGATTATGGCTTGGATAGCCCGTGCCCTGCATCAGACAGGGCCACAAAATAGCGACATAGCCAATCAAACTGACTTGTAAGCTAGATGTAAAAGAATGCCAACATAAGATTATATTGATCCTACAAGGAGGCTGACGGCTGTGCCACTGCCCACCATCTCCCGCGTTATTCCCTGGCAAGTTTCATAATTGCGATCTAGCCAATGAGAACGCTGATTTTCGCCCCATGTCTCTATGGCAGTGTTAAATATGCGAATATCTGGGGGAGAAAAATTACAGAATCGTTGGCTGTTCTGAGTCCTGCGACGTGGGTGAGGTACGCCAGGATAGAAACACTCTATTGATGACATCGAAATACAGTCTTCTTGAAATATAATCGCACCTCTCCCTTAGTAGCTGACTCTAATTTCCTTGATCTCTCCATTTGGCTGCGTTGTGTCCATCGAGCTCATGAATAACTTCAGGTCCAGGATTCTGGACTTGAACTCAGGGGCGGCCATCACCAAAGCTACCCGCTTCCTCTCGGGGATCTGCTGGACATTTCTCCAACCATACATGGTGGCAGGCTCATAGCCCTCTAATGACCATGTAGCCCAAGGTATAGCAAGTGCCTCTTTTTGAACATCTTTCGACGCGCAATGATTGTCGTAACCAGAAGAGAAACGTTCGTACTCTTCCGTAAACCCCTGTTCTTCTACTTCCATGATGGAATCTATCGTCACGGCGGCCCCGTCGCTTCTCCACATCCCTTCGTGGCGATTCATCTCCTTCATTAGTTTTAGTACATGCCGCCGGAGTGCAGGGTGTCTACATCTCTTCCCGATCTCAAAGAGGGGGGCAACTACCGCGGGCTCAAGACTAAGCTCAAGGGATTTGGTGGGGCCCTTTCTGTGTATAAACGCATAGGCCAAGGTGGTGAGATGTTGCATATGCCCGAGGCAGTTGTCGAATCTGGTTTCTGCGCCGAAAAGGCTTACCTTCAGTATGAGCCTAAGCCATGCGTGATATATTCGGATGGATATGGCGGCGTCCGCATGAAGAAACTGAAGGCCACTGGACTCAAACTCGGCCATCTTGGTTTCGAACAATTCGGTATCCCGTGTCAGAGTCTTGCGCGCTACTTTGAATGTATTCTCGGACATTGCCCCATCATGGAACGTTTGGTCGAGTAGCAATAGCCGCCGCATGAGTGCAAATACCATGCTGGCGGCATCTGAGTATGAGGAAAACGGCGTGTCTTCCCTGTACACAGTTTGTCCTAGACCTCCGCTTATCGACGCTTCGACAAAAGGATATGGAGATTTGGTATCACTGAATGTGATTGACTGCATATCCAGGCGTATCAGTGTAGAAGAGAGCCGTTTACCCTCACTCGAGGACGAAAGGGCTTGGTTCTGCGCAAGAATTCGAAAACCAGCAAATAAGTGCATATGGGAGTCGGCCCAGAAGCCGAGCATATTGGCAGAAGCAATTAGCGAGAGACTCAAGGCGAGGACTTTTTCTGTCGACTTGAGATCTTTGGCGAGCGCCATCGCTTTTCCGTAATGGCTCGTGGCACGGTGGATCAGTGTAGTCATCTCGACACCGAGAAACTGCAGCTCCCATCTGCGGTGTAGAGCTCCGAGAGCCAGGGTAGCATGCCATATAGCCGGTTCGGTGTAAGCGAGCTGTAAAATGTCTTGGTCCCAAAAAGATGAAGGGATGAAGGAGTCGGTATTGGGTACTGTCGCCTTTCGGAAGTAGTCAAAATGGACCGTATCCTGAGATGGAGACATTGCTACAAAGACCGGAATAGGTGCTGATGAGGGCATCGGTATATTTCCTGCCAGAGTTTGGGACGCCGGACCTATGGCAGGGTTGTTCTTCAACGCATCAAGCATCTGGCGCCGGGACATGACACGGCCTTCCGGTAGATACCCATCGCACATCCTCTTGGCAGATTGGCAGCGAAGACATTGAGGTCTAGCCTCGTCGCATTTTACACGACGGATTCTATTATTGTGCTTAGGTTAGCTCTCACACGAGTCTGGTGGTGGATAGGGGGCTACAGACTCACCTGCAAGAGATGCAGCCGGTCTTGTTTCGCTTAATCATTGCGGGATATGTTGCGGCGCAAGGGAATGGTCACTGGGTAGATCTTGCAGACAAATAATCTAACGTTATTATAAGGTCGCAATATGCCGCGAAAGAAAGTGTAGGATGCTCCCTGGTTCTCATCGCTCTGACTGTACGTGCTGTGAAACTGAAATGATGAGAGGCAAATGATCACCCTTTTCTTCCCTACCAGATGACCCCGTCCGACTAGCGCGTAAGCATGCTTGGCAGGGTCTGGAGGCCCATAACAGCTTTCTTTGATTACCGGAGGCTAGGTAGTTTTGGAGTGAATCTACATGGGTGCGTCACCCATAACGTGACTGACATGGCGCAGCAGATTCGCAAGGGAGGCTAGGAAAACAAAGGGTTGCATACAGGCCAATCGGTCAAGTAGTGAGCAGATCGCACAGGGCTATATTAGGCGGAAATTCTTTGTATGTAATTAGTGCACATCGTGGTATATGAATCGTTGATACAAATGATTAATACTCATGCCTACATGTAATCATTACGGTTCTCCCCACTGCTCGTTTCCTCTTTCTCGTATCTGTCGTCCCCTCTTGACTGACAGGGAAAGAGATGAGATGATCCATTTGGGGATGACATATAATCAAAGTAAGAGCTACGCACTGTACATGCTATCAATGCACATTGGAGATGGTTGATGTACAAGAATGGTACTAATGAACCTGACAATCTAGCACTCGCCCATAAAGAAAATGAACTACTTGGTCAGCTCGGGTAATACAGGCCATATAATGACCAGAAATCACCTCGGTCAATAGTTTGTCGAAAAAATTGGAACGGATAATGATAACCCGATGTACACATATCGGAAGTATGATAGTCCCCGAAGGAGTATTAATAACATCCCACCGCATCCAAGCCCGGCCCCAAAATCGTCCTCCCGCTTCCCCTCTCTTTCCTACAAGAATCATTCAGTCTGGGTAGTCATCCAGCAACCATGCAAGCGGCTAGATTTTACGGCCCTGGCGATATCAGGGTTGAGGAAGTCGACCGTCCTAAAGCAGACAATAACAAGGTGATTGTGGCAGTAGAATGGTGTGGCATCTGCGGCAGCGATCTGTCTGAATACAGTCACGGTGAGAGCCGCTGGGCCGAGGAAAATGACGATGCTCTGATGTGTATTGATGCTGATCAACCGGCACATTTATTCCCTTAGGTCCGGTAGCCATTCCAAAGAAACCACATCCACTTTCTGGGGAGCAATTGCCAGTGATAATGGGTCACGAATTTTCCGGGAGAATACTAGAAGCACCACCCGGTTCAAAGTTCTCTTCTGGTCAGCCCGTCATGGTTGATCCCCGCCTGAATTGCGGCAAGTGCCTCCAATGCAGCTCTGGGCACTCGAACGGCTGTGAGAAATGGGGTTTCCTCGGCTTGAGCGGCGGCGGCGGCGGTTTTGCGGAAATGGTTGCTGTCAGGCCAGAAAAGCTGCACGCTCTGCCTGATTCTGTCGATTTGGCTGTGGCTACACTCCTAGAGCCTCTGTCCGTCGCCTGGCATGCAGCCACTCTTTCAGGTTTGAGAAAGGGAGACTGCGGCGACGCAGCAGCCCTCGTCGTGGGTGGCGGACCAGTAGGCGCCTCGATGATATACGTCCTCCGAGCGTGGGGGATGAAGCAAATATTTGTTTCGGAACCCAGTCCGGCACGCCGAGAGTGGCTCGAGGATATTGTGGAGGCTGCATTTAACCCAATAGAAATAGAAATCTCCTCGGAATGCCGTCAGAGAACAAAAGAGATTGGGGTCGATGCTGTCTTTGATTGTGCCGGTTCCCAAGTGGCTCTGGATAGTGCTATTGGTAGCTTGAAGTTCCGTGGCAGCTATGTTAACGTCGCCCTGGCTACACCAAAGGTAACAAAGAAGGATTTGGCCCTTGTTCTTGCAACCGGAAATTCTTTTAAAAAATTGCGCTGATTTTCTTATGATGTTAGGTGGCTTTGCCATGCCGGACGATGTTGCTCAGGGAGCTCAAGGTGACCTCATCGTTGGCATACAATGACAAAGACTTCAGCGAGGTCGTGGAGGCATTCATAAGTGGTAAGTTGGATCATCTTCATGAATTAATTCTTCTACAACGGACGCTGATTGTCTAAGGGCAATTTAACGGCGTGGAAAAGATGGTGACTGGAAGAATCTCTTTACAAGAGGTTGTACAGGAAGGGTTTGAGCATCTGGTTCACCAAAAAGACAAACACATGAAGATTGCAGTAAGCCCCAAGATACAGAAATAAGGCTGAAGGAAGATACGCGAATATTCAAAGGTATTCTGTATAGTAGGAATTGCTAACAATCCACGACATCCAAATTTTTCAACGGTGAGGACTGCTTTTAATAAAGGATCATTATATGTTTAACTCAGATCATATTCCTAAAAGCAAGCTTCCTAAACGAAGAGAGAAATCATGTGCAGTCTGAGACACGCATCTGCTTTTCAATTTTATTAACCAGCATTTCTAGGATTCCTAAGAGACGCTAGTTCATCCTTTCAATATTGTCCTGTGACCTCAATCTTCGGCAAGCCTCCTGTTGGGCGATACACGTCCCAGTTATCGGCATTAAATGGGTTCCCAAATGGTTTCAGTGCAGCGAAACGCATAGTATAGTTACCAGGAGCAATTTGGCTGCCGTTTCCAAGCTTGCCAAACCACCAGTGCTGCCTCCCCCAACTCAGGCTCGTAGCCCGTATAATGTTGGTTTCCGGGTAGGTGTATGTCTCATCCGGATCATCAGTCCCAAGTCGGAACGGCCAACCGCCGTTGGAACCGACCCAAGAGGCCACCGAGCCGATGAATGAGTCTTCTCCTACAACGGGAGGATACTTCCACGACCGCTCTGAGAATCCCTCTTCATAAATATCCCATCGAACCTCTGTGGTGCCCCAGATGAACTTGGTATAAATCTTCGGGTAATCCATCATCCTGTTAGAAAGATTGAAAGAAAAACTATTCCAGTGTTAGATTCCATTAGTAATTATGAGATAGGAGACAGCATACGTTGATTTGTCAATGAATTGAGTCTGATTCAGGCCTGAGACAAGATATGGAAACCCATTTTCATTCAAGGGAGTCAGTTGATTTTTTAAGTCACCACAAAGACCTTGGCGTAAGTGGTTAGTAAAAGGGTTGAATACGCGTAATTGAGTAGTTTCAGAATAGCCAGAGACTCACCAAGGTACGGAACTGACAGAAACTCGCCATTGCTGCCGGAGACGGTAACTTTGCCGCTGTACAGAGGCAGAGCAGAGGCATTCCAGCCAAGGTTATCGGGATTGTCGAAACTGATGGTGACCTTCTTACTTTGGCCTGGTAGTAGTGTAAGATCTTGCGGGAGGGATACCACTGGGGTATACTCTCTAGGGGATAATTGGGTGAATGGACTGATCCGCTTTGTTTGGTCGGATGGATCCCAAATAAGAGCATCAACTCCACCAGCAGGATGTTGGGAGAACCGATATGTCACAGGCTCTGATCCATTGTTTGTGACCGTGAGATCATGGTATCGGTTGAAGTATCTGGTATCGTTGAGGGCGATATTTCTGAATTCGAGCTGTGTGTTATAGCTGACAATCTTGTATGCGTCAATCATCCCGTTACCGACCTGGCTCGTGCTGGCACTGAAAGGGAACGCTACCGCAGTCCCGTTGGACCATGGAATCGCCCTACCGGAGGAGATTATACGGCGGCTTAGTCGGTAGGCAAACTCCTTGCCTTGTACACTCCGGCCGCCGTGAGCACTTATGTAAAGGGCAGCAACGCCGGCGACGTATGGACAGGACATTGAAGTCCCACTCAGGATTTTGTAACCACCGTCAAACCATGTGCTAAAAATATTACCACCTGGCGCGGCAATGTCGGGTTTCAGTTCGAGGTTATAAAGAGCAGCCCATGAGGTGAATGGATTTGCGCGATTGCCGTTGGGATCTTCGATTCCAAACGGCAACTCTGGGTCCAGTGAGAAATCCGCCGTAACATTACTTCCTGCCTTGAGGGCCTCGATAATTTTCTTGCCATCGCCAGCCGTGATTTCTCCTATACTAGAGGCTAGAGGCGGCTCGAGAGCATCCTCGTTGTTGAGCATGAGAATGTATTTGGCACCGAGTGCAAACAAATTGTTTTGTTTTACATAGTGATAACAACCGCCCTTCCTGATAAGCGGGATGACACCAGTCAAGTTTTGTGTGCCTTCGGGATATGGCTGGCAGGCCTCCGCTTCGGCCTCTGGGTCCAAAGACAGACTCACCACTGGCCAGTCGACGATCTCGGGGGGGAAGTAGTTGAGCGCAGGAATGTAGCCCAAAGTTTCGACGTTTCCGTTGATCGTAATCCCAAAAGGACTGGCGGGATAACGTTCCGTTTCAACAGACGCAACAGCAAGCACGTTGTTGCCAGACGATCCACTGCTGCCGTAGAACGGACCATACTCTCCTGAGTTACCGGCACTGATTGTGACGACAACCCCCTCATCAACAAGACGAGAAGCCACTTTTGCCCAAATATTATCGGAATAGCCGTTTGCTCCGCCTATCGAAGCAGTGATGATATCCATTCCATCTTCAAACGCAGCCAGAAAAGCTTCAATAAGAGTCGCCGTATCTGTGCTTCCGAGGCTGGTAAAGACTTTGTAAGCGTATAAGGATGCCTCAGGTGCAACGCCAATCCAATAATCATTCTTCCCCGCGATGATACCTGCCACATGTGTGCCGTGTCCTTGCTGATCTTTGGGGTCATCATCTGGGACCTTTGAGCCTGTCTGAGGCCATCCTATTTGGCTTTGTTACGGGATAGTCACTTTTGGCCTCAAGGAAGATAAGAAACTTACGACCGTCACCAACGAAATCACGACCCCCTGAAACTTTGAAACCAGCACCGAAGCCGCCCCCAAGCTAGAAAATGAATTCATACGTTAATGATTGCTTTTTTTGTAACTATTTAGGCTTGTACTCACCGCCGGGTGATCGTACCAGACACCAGTGTCTACGATGCCAATCTTCACGTTTTTGCCGAATATCCCTTGGGCATGCAGCTTGTTCACACCCGTAACATTGTGATTGTCGTGGCGGACAGGCGCGTCATCTGTACCGGGCGCCTGCTGCTCAAATGTAGGAAGTAGTTCGACCAACTCGTTCGGCCAGACATCCAGCACGTCTGGTACTCTTGACAGGTCATCTTGGGTCAGAATATCCGTCTCAATCAAGGCTCCCTGAAAAACACTGCTATCAAAAACTTTGACAACAGAAACGCCATCTTGGCTGGCTGGGCTCTGTCGTGCATGAAATCCCTAATTCGGTACAAGCTGATCTTAGCTTCGTTGTCAAAGAGAAAGGAGACAAGATTGCGCTCAACTCAATCTTCACTCACTGGGGCATATTCAATAATGAAGCTTCGAGCTACTCGAGCAGGGAAGGGAATTTCAGTATCGTTTTGTTGTTGGTTGATTTCGGCGACAGTTGACACCAGAAATGGTATCAGAAAACCAATGGATCTCAACGCTGATAAATACATTCTTGATCTCGCATCAACTCCACAGAATGCTCAAGAACAAAGAGAGATCTGTCTCTCAATACTTTCACAGGAGTGATAGCAGATCTTTCTTTTAAAGGCACATTTTCGATATGGCGCAGGATGATCACTAGCGGAAGGATCACAAGCCTGGTTCGAATCATTTCATTAGACTACAACCCCAAGCCTTCCAATCTCGGCCGCTATACGCCAACACCCGCACGATGCAACGTTGATTGCTCGCCAAGCTCTGTCAACCTTCCTAAAGAAACGGGGTCATGCGAGATGCTCAGTTGACCCGCGGATAAAAGAGAAGCCTCCTGGTGGGGCTGCCACTATCCTGCCGCTTCTAGAAATTATCAGAATTCCTGTCAAATGATAGATGCCATATGCCTGTCTGATTCTCAGTCGGTTGTGACCTTCCAGTCTTGGGTCAAATCGCGCTTGAGGTTTGCGGCCGTTATCTGTGCTCAGCGTTGTAAGACAACTTCTGTATCCTACCGACTATGGCATAGACATAATAATGACCAGTTGTGGCCCTCAACAAGATTTTACAATCGAGTTTCGCATTTCAAACTCCAGTCTTTCAAGAGCAACCAGGTACAACAGCTTTGTTCCAAGTTGTGGATTGATTTTAGCTGTGGGGATATGGAAAAAAAATGCTGGTTTATTAAAACGAAGCGAACCAAGAGAATAACTTCCAACTAAGAATTTATCTGACCAAAGCTTCGAGGCAGTCTGATGTAAAAATTTTCCAACTTTAACTTTATCATTAGGTATGCAAAATCCGAAAATCGTACCGATTAAATTAATTAAAACATCTCTGCAAAGCTTTGTTGACTAGCATGACTATGAAATCGGTGTATGCTAGCAATCTAGTATATATATTAATTTTGGGAGCTGGAGCAAACATACATGACTGAGCAAGAGTTGATGGCTGAGCTGGAAAATTCGTAAAAGCAAGCTGAGTCTGATGAGAGGGCGCTTCGGATTTTGATTAGGGTCATCAACATATGCTACACTTGATATCACGGTTGGTTCAAAGAACGGCTGTCGTATTTACTTTCGACTAATCTTCAGTATGATGTATCTTCTTTACAGACGCATTACTAGCAGGCCGAATCGACATCGGCATATTTGAACCATAAAGGGTAGTGCTGGTATGACGAGTGCAAAGCCAAATTGAGAAGTCGTCTGGTATCAATACTGTGATCAAGACAAGAGCGACACAAAATGAAGCTACAAGCACAAGTCATGCTTAGGCGGTCTTTTTACAAAGTCTTGGGGGATCATCAACTTCGACCCAATCTTCGGTTCCCACCATTGCCTTGGCATAGAAAACACCCTCAGGATCCCACTTCTTGCGAACATCAAGGAGTCGAGGATAATTATCACCCCAGTAAGCAGACTGCCACCCTGGCTGTTCAATGTCGCCCTCGTTCACATAGGAACCACCGCGCGGGGAGGCCTTGATCAGAGCGGCGTCGACAATATTGGTAATCGTGTTTCTCCCAGCTGCCATGAGTTCTTTTGATGCACCAAGCGGTAGGAAAGCGGATGAGATACTGAAGCTCGAGGCGTTGCGCCAGCCTGGGTGGATGGCGTTATCAGGGTTGGGGTTGCCAACGCCCGGCCCGACAATATGCCCAAACATAACCCCGGGCTCTTGCCATCCCGGAATAGTGGTGGCGGTCCTGAAAGCCTTGATGAGCTCGTCATGGTTCTCTTCGATG